GGGCGTTTCTGCGAGAATCGAGGTTGCAATGTTGCATAGTTTATTATCATGTCGATGTTATAATGTTTGCATCGCGTTATCAGTGTTTGTTTGTTTGGCATGTGATTATCAGGCCGTGTCGCAGACTGTATACTATATTATTATAGTCACCGTTTTTCAGTTTCCAGGATCAAAAACATTAAAAACTGTGAAATGAGTTTAAATTTCGTTAAAATATAATAATTCGTTTTCTGTTTGCTGGCTGCCATAGTTATAGTCTTACCCAAACACTTGTCCAGTCTAAGTACTAAGTTTACTCGACTCGTGAAAAATGTCCATTGAAATAGAATCTGCTGAGTTAGTACTACTCATATGACTATATCATTTTATGTATTTAACACAAAATGTTCCCATTACTTACTAAACTTAACTTTATTTACAGTGTCATCCGACTTATACAGCAATATCTGAAGGAGTCAAATCTAATGAAATCTCTGCAAACTCTTCAAGTAATTGTTTAAACTATTCCACTTTTGTAGATAATAAACTATTCATTTTTGAAATAATAAAAATTTAGTGTACCAAGTTTAGATTTAGTTTTTTATAGTAAATTCATATTTAGTAATTTTATCATTACATTTTTAGGAGGAAACCAGTGTATCATTAAACACAGTAGATAGTATTGATGGTTTTGTCGCAGATATACACAATGGTCATTGGGATACAGTTTTAAAAGCAGTACAGTCTTTGAAATTACCTGATAGTAAATTAATTGATTTGTACGAACAAGTTAGTGTTCTACTGTTTATATTAAATAAATAATAATAATTTAAAATATTATAATATGTTATTTATTGGCAGGTTGTATTTGAACTGATAGAGTTGCGTGAACTTGGAGCTGCTCGATCACTTTTACGTCAAACAGATCCTATGATTGCTTTAAAACAACATGAACCTGATCGCTACATACACCTTGGTATAATTATATTCTTTATAAATGGTAGTCACAATAATTGAAAATTTTTGATTATTCTAATAAAATACTGATGACTTATAATATATATTTGTAAAAAGTTTAATTATTAAATTATTGAAAATTCTAATTTCTCTTCAAATTCAAATCATTGTTCTTTTTATATATTTTTAATTTAAATATAGTTAGTTTATTGTTTTGTTGTTATAGAAAATCTTCTAGCTCGGTCTTATTTTGATCCTCGTGAAGCATATCCAGAAGGTACATCTAAAGAAAAACGAAGGATTGCTATTGCTCAATCATTAGCTGGTGAAGTATCTGTAGTACCATCATCTAGACTTTTAGCACTATTAGGCCAAGCATTAAAGTGGCAACAACATCAAGGTCTTTTACCACCAGGTATTTTAAAATATCATTTAAGTTAAAAAAAAAATTATAACAGGTATCTATGTAAATTTTAAACTGTTATTTTTAGGTACTTCAATTGATTTATTTAGAGGTAAAGCAGCAGTTCGAGATCTTGAGGAAGAAACATTCCCTACTCAATTATTTAAGCAAATTAAATTTATCCAAAAGAGTCACGTTGAATGTTCTAGATTTTCACCAGATGGCCAGTTTTTGGTGACTGCCACTGTAGATGGATTTATTGAAGTATACAATTTTGTTACAGGAAAAATAAGAAAAGATCTTAAATATCAAGCTCAAGTAATATTAAATTTTTTAAACAATTAGTACTTATGATGTATTCTTGAAATTATTTTTTATTTTTCAGGATAATTTTATGCTTATGGAAGACGCTGTACTAAGTTTAAATTTTTCTCGTGATAGTGAAATGCTGGTATCTGGCTCTCAAGGTGGAAAAGTGACTGTTTGGAAAATAATGACTGGACAAGTGATGCGAAAATTTGAAAAAGCTCATGTACTAGGGGTTACTTGTGTACAATTTTCTCGAGATAATACTCAAATTTTAACCGGTTCATTTGATATGACTATAAGGTGATATTACTAATAAAAATAAAAAAAATATGTTTATTGTAAAATTTATGTTGATAATTTTTTTTTTTTACTTTAATAGAATTCATGGTTTGAAATCTGGAAAAACGCTTAAAGAATTCAGGGGACACACATCATTTATTAATGAAGTTGTATATACTGTTGACGGTCATAGTATAATCAGGTGAATATTATTAAGATTAGCCTTAATAATTATTAATATAAACAGTTTTTAATATTATATTTTATTCGTAACAACAGCGCGTCTAGTGATAGCACTGTAAAAGTATGGAGTGTGAAAACTACAGAATGTACACACACCTTTAAATCTATGGGAGCAGCCGATGTAGCTGTTAACAATGTGCATCTCTTCCCTAAAAATCAAGATCATTTTGTTGTTTGTAACCGTTCAAACACCATTGTCATTATGAATATGCAAGGCCAAGTGAGTAATCCATTAAAATATTTTTTAAATATAATATATTGATAAAAAAAAATTATATTTATAGATTGTTAGATCATTTACCAGTGGTAAACGTGAAGGCTGCAATTTTGTATGTTCCACGGTGTCACCTAGGGGAGATTGGATATATGCAGTTGCTGAAGATTATAATTTGTATTGTTTTTCTTTAAACAGTGGAAAATTGGAAAAAACTCTACAAATACATGAAAAAGACGTTATTGGACTAACACATCATCCTCATCAAAATTTATTATGTACCTACTGCGAGGATGGTATGGTACGGTTATGGAAACCTTAAATTGTTTATGTTTAATATCCTAATAGTATAAATTCAAACAAAAATTGAACTCATTTAATAATTAATGATAATAATTTTGATAAGTATACATTATTAGTAATGTGTTTTGAGTATCATATTGTAATTAAATAAAAATTAATTTAATTACTTTTTATATTTTATTAATATATCTACCTGTAATGTATTCTGTTGTGTGCGTTTTGACATATTTCATTTAGTTTATTCAATATACACTGTAAACTATAATAATTTTAGTACTAAACATATACCATACTTTAATTAATAAATAATAGTTAAATAAAAATTGTTTTCATTAATATTTATAATAACCTATAAGACTTTAAAAATATTAGCTGTATTTCCTATTCTTGCTGTAGAGGATTAAAACAACCAACATTTTTTTGACAAAGACAAACTATATAATATACATTTTGTAGAAGCACTGCTACTCTTAAGAGAAAAATGCGCTAAGTGAAGAATATTTTTATTTTCAAACCATAAAAACCAAGACGTAAACAGATAAACCATAGACTTATAGTTTAAATACATAAATCTTGTTTACACCGCACACATAGAATATATTCCCGAACCCTAATCATGCAAAGTAATATACTAACTAACATGATAAAATAATTTTTTTTTTTTTCTTATTGAACTTAAGCTTCGATGACTAAGGACATTAGCTGTTGTAGATGTTATGAACTGTGGTAGGGGAAGGTTGGTACAGTAGGTTGTTTTTTTTATGATTGTTACGGTTAATAGTAAATACGTGTATGTATAGCAAGGTTTTTAACCACCATGATCCCGGGTGGTAACCCATCCGGGAGCTAGTAGCTGTGGCCGTTACTCTTAGTCGCATTCTGCGACTGGTAGCAGCCAATGTGCCATGCCAAGCCACATGATATAAATATGTGGAGTCATAATACCTATGTTTTTAAAATATATTAATACAGTGATATGAATACTTAACACATTTCTATTTTAGACTTAACGCTTTCAGTTAATTTTAATTAGTATGGTTAAAACCATTTTTTAAACATAATTTGTATACATTTTAATATAATGCACTATTAATAATTTGAAATTTTATAAAAAGTCTAACATACAAAATTACATAAATAATTTTCTTAATTTTTATTTTAGTAATATTTTTTAGTTAATTCACTCTAATATTAAAGCTAACAATACCAAATCAGTTATGCTGAACTCAAATTTGGAATGGATTGCATACAAAAATAGTTACAAATAATCACTTAAACATAAATTCACCCAAATGATAGATACTTGAATCAAATAAATTTTAAGTATCAGTAGTATCACCCAAATAAATGATGCCTTTAAAATATATAAAGTAAGATATTAATGTTCTACTACAGAGCATTCATGTGAGAACCAACCAATGTGTGTCTTAATACAAGTTAGTTTTGTATAATTTTTACATTAATAATAGTATTAAGAAAATATAATTTTTTGATTTTCTCAACTTAAGTTGTCCAGCACACGTTTAAATATCCATAACGACCATAACACTAGACTTTAGAAATAGTTTATTTTGTTAATATTTCATTGCTTATAAAAAAATTCTTTTTAATAAAAATATCCAGAGACCCAAAATAACTAGTTAATTCAGTTATTCAGTTAGATTTTTCCCATTAGGATCCTCAAATGAGCAATAATTTTTTTTTAGTTTTTTAATTAAAATTAAAATTTAGGCTGTGTAGAAATTATTTATGACTACTGATAATATATAAATTCATATTACACATATTCACATAAACACTTTAGGAAAAAAACAAAATTCAGTACTTATAGAATAATGAAATTAAATTTACACAAAGTTGTTAATACAATAATATTGTTTATTACCTAAATAAACTTGTTCTATTTTTTAAACTAAAAATATGATTTAATATTAATCAATTTTTATTTAAAAAATGTTATATACAATACAATAAAATAATATTACTGATTACAATTTGCAGGTTGATAAAAACCAAGTAAAATAAAATAATATAAAACCTGAAATAGATATTCTGATAAAAATGTACATTCTAATGTGTATAAAAAGATTGAACTATTATTTTTGAATGGTTAAAAAAGAAGTAGATTAGGTGTATACTATTAAACAAATTAATATACTACTAAATTTGTTAATATGTTTGAATTTTCAATTTTAAATAATGCCAATAGTATCATAACAATAATGGAATCTAAACTAATATAATTCGAATATTTAAAAATATTGTAATTATTTGAAAAAAAAAATCATAAAATAATATAATTAACGATTAGAAAATATTAAACATACATAGAATTATAAGTATAATTTGTATTTAAATAATGAAGAGATAAGAGCCCCAAAATGAGAAGCAAGTAAAAGAATTTTAATTTAACTTAAATTAAAATACCTGTACTGTAAAATAATAATTATAATAAAATAAAATATGGAAAAGGGGACAACACTTATAAAATCTAAAAGTGAACTTAAATTTTGATACTCAAGCTGACGCATTACAACAGAATTGTTTAATTTGGAATGCAGCCGAATCATTTGTGTTTGCTGTAGTTGCATCTATCCTGATTGGCTTCATACACACTTTGTCAATTTCGTCCCCATCCATACTATCCATTTGACGGGCTGATACTTTGCGATGGATTTCTAAATAACAAATAGGTTTAAAATTAAATCCATTTGCTATAATAATTATTTATATTTAATAAGTCATAATAAGACAGATTAAAATAAAACATTCATATTTTCATCAGGAACCTGTAAAACAAACCTGATTTATGATGATTGGCAGCATTGTTTCCTGACGTTGTCAGAATTGACTGTAGGTTTGACATCAATTGGCTCAATGTTTGTAGGCCGTATCGTATCACCTTCAGGTGGGTCTCTCATTTGCTTTTGAGACACAATGTTATAGATTTCTGAACAATGGTGAAAAACCGAACGAAAAAAAACAAAAACAAAACTACTCAGTACCAAAATAATACAATATATAACTAAAACATTATTTAAAAGCAATTTAATTATATTAATAATCCAATTTTAAATCATGGGATATAGAATATATTAACACTTTGGAAACAGAAAATGAAATCAAATATATTATACTTAGGTTGCACCCTAACTTAATCGAAAATAACATGAAACATTTAAGCAAGACTTGAATCATTTTTAAATGTATCAAAATTATAAAATGAATTCAACAATAACTAATAAAAGAAATTTTTATGAAATATTTACATATTTAATGAAAATAATCATAATAAATATAAACAAGTATTAACTTATATGATTAATGTTTAATAGTGTTACTAATTATTTAGTTGATTTTCATTTAATGTTAATTAAATAATTTATTATTAATAATAAAATAGGTATTAAAAAACATTTTATTAAAAAGTTTTAAATTTAATACATGTAACATAATATTCAGAACAAAAATATCGAAACATAAAGGATTTCAAAAAAAATTTTTTATGTCATAGATTACTTAAATCAATAAAAAAAAAGATCATTTTACTGAAGAAAATATAGTATTAGTAACTTAAAAGTTAGTTCAAAAATAATAATTTGAATACAATTCCCAAACATATTAAATGTTACATTATAAATAAAAAATAAAATAAACAAAATAATGTTTATTTTAAAGAATAAATACAAATTTATTATTTGAATAAATGCATAATTCAAATATTTAAATTTCATTTATAACCATATAAATACTAATGTTTCAATATGACATTAATAAACCAAACCTTATTACTTATTAAATTTGGAAAATATGTAAAAAAAAGTTACATGCTATTACAATAGAAAGTAAAGCTATGGAAAACTTATATTATATACTTCTAATAAATTAGTTTTTTGTTAAATAAAAAGAAAGAAGGTCAAACATTTTTTACAAATGATATTTATGAGTTATATTCATATATAATCATTTTTTTAAATTTATACTAACTTGCATAGAAAAAAAATCATGTAGTAAAGTGTTTATAAATAATATTTAATTGTAAAAATGTAAGCTATAAATGTATTTTCATAAAAAATAGACTATGATTCACATAGTGACTAATCAAAAACGATATATTATACTAAATATCTGAATGGTTTTTAATTTTTAGTCAATAATTTATCAACAAGAAACTAATTCTAAAATCAACAAGTTAAAAGTATATATTAAACAATTTTATAGACCTAAAGCAGAGGAACAAATTTAAAAAATTTTAAATATCAACAAAATAATGGTATTAAGATATGTGTACAAATAGAGAGTATTAACATTACAAAAGAGACAGCAAAGAAAAAGTTTATAAATTACATAATCTTGAACTTTTAAAAAAAATCAACAATTTTAGTGTCATCAATGGGTGGTTACTTAACACAATGTTTTGTATCTTCAATCATATATACTTAATATATCTACTGATATAGATTGTATATTTCGACTTAAATTAAAAAAAAAAAAAAATACATCATCCTACTTCCCACTATTTATAAAGAAATGTGTCATTTTATAGATAACTTTTCAATTTTACAACCTATTTATTACCATGCAAAAAAAAAAAAAAAGAACACTATAAATTTAATTTTTATAGTTTATTATTATCACTTTATTTATTTAAAATAAATTGCATACTTAATTTTATGCACTCGTGCAATGCTTTTTGTTTAATTTACTTTATTTAAACAAATTTGTTTATCAGTAAAACTATCATGGTTTTACAACTAAAACCACATTATATATAGCAGACATGCAATAGTTATATATATATATTAGACATTTAAACAGACTATTATCAGTGACAATAACCAAATACATACACTAGGTTGAGATAACCAATAAACATCTATACAATGTTTATAAGTTGACTACAAATTTGAAAATATTTTTTTAAATAAAAAGATAACTAAATTCAAATTATAGAAAACAAATTTCACAATACTCATCTAAATATATAAATTCAAGTCTTATTGTATGTTAAACATAAAAATAAAAATAAAAATTGTACATACCTGTTAATATGTTTTCAAAAGCAGTTTCGACATTGGTCGAATCAAGAGCAGAAGTTTCTATAAATGACAAATTATTGGCCTCAGCAAATGCTGTAGCTTCATCTGCTGGTACAGCTCTTAGATGACGCAAATCTGACTTATTACCCACTAACATAATGACTATGTTTTGATCAGCATGATCACGAAGTTCACTCAACCATCGCTCTACATTTTGATAAGTTAACTGTTTTGCAATATCATAAACCAACAGTGCACCTACAGCTCCTCGATAATAACTAAAGATAAAGATAAATAATTCATTTAATACAGTATTAATAAATGAAATATAGAAAAATTAATATTTACGCTGATGTGATAGCTCTGTATCGTTCTTGTCCCGCAGTGTCCCAAATTTGAGCTTTGATTATTTTCTTATTTACCTGTAAATAAAATGTATTAAAAAAAAAAAAAAAACAATTTTTAAAACTGAAATTGTAAGGAATTCAATATAGAAAAATAAAAAACAAAACATTATTTTATGGCTATTTAGAAAAAAAATATACATAGATTTAGACAATAAAATAAAATGAAAAACAATATACCAATTTAAAAGTAATATTAGCAAGTATTCATGACTGATAACTTGTAATTTAAAAAATAATGAAATATGTTGATTTAAAAATTATTATTCAAGAAAATTGTATTTTATAATTTATTTATTAACAGTAGAGGTAGGTTTGAGTACATAAATATACCAATATGCTAGCTTGTATAATTTTTACAAACCACAATGTATAATTATTAATATTAATTTTAAACTAAACAATGATGGTCGCAGTTATAGTTCATATATTTAATTTTAAATAGGTTATAATAAATTAACAGAATATAATAAAATACCTTAATGCTTCTTGTAGCAAATTCTACCCCAATGGTAGACTTTGATTCTAGATTGAATTCATTGCGAGTAAATCTAGCTAGCAAGTTACTCTTGCCAACACCAGAATCTCCAATAAGAACAACTACAATGAAAATGAAACAATATAAGTATTTCTTGTTTTAATTAAATAATTTAAAACAAACAACATTAAAGCACAAATCTAAATTATTTATTTATTATCATTTCTTATTTAAATTCATTAAATCTTATATTAATTTAACTTTAAATAAAGTAAAATAATAGTTTCTAACAAATATTTTAACTCTGGTCAAGTCAACTGATTTCACAAGTTAAGCAACTTTTTACCTTAATTACCAGTTTTATTCAGTAGTGTTCCTGTATTATATTAAAAATTTACCACAATAGATACCTACTTATTTAAATAGTTCATTAATTTTGAACAAAATATAACATAAACAGTAAGGAAACAAAAATAAGCCTTTAGCAGATCTTTAGTATTTTTATGTAAGCTGAATGCTTAACTTAGAAACACTTTTGAACGCACCAATTTAATATTATTATAGCTGTATGATATATATCTTTAAAAATTAAAAATAATACAGTTCAAAAACAAACTATAATTTAAAACATACAAAATACATATTATTAATAACAATTTAAAGGTGTTGATTAAAAACTACTATAAATTTAAAAAAATGTTCTTATCATTGTGTGGCCATGTGGATGAACTAATACAAAATGTTTATTAATTTTAGTTTAAGTAAAACACATAACTTACTAAAGTAAAAATGGAAAAAACCTATGAACAATCTTTAATACTCTAAAAATAAACAATTAAGTATAAAATACTATCTAATTTGAAAATATTTATTTTACATAAACTGTTTCAAAGAATTAGTCAATCAAACTGAATTAAAATGTTTAATAGATAAATAAAATAATAATCTTAATATTAATTAATATTTTTTAAAGCCTAGTTTGTTAAAAAATCTACTTAAAAACCCATAGATTTCTGTCATGTCCAATATTAAGAAAGGGGGTAAATGGTGTACTCTTTCCATGAAATATGATCAGAGAACTAAACTACGTGTGACTTAGTTCAAACCATTAACAGTGGCGCATTTAAACAGCAGCCCTAGTTCACTCAACTACTGTCTGATATTAACTTATAAAAATTAATAGATAATATAATATTAAGCTACATAGTTTTGATATCATAAAATATACCATACATTTTATGATAAACATATATATAAATTGGGATCAAATATAATAAAACTAGAACATAAACATTCAATTTCATCTTTAGAAATTTATATTTTATTAACTACAACAATGTCTAAGAACGTATTGTTAACACGCATTTAGTGTCTTATATCTACATATATCAATAACTCAAAAAATGTAGCATCAGCAATTTTTTCTATAGATAATATTTTATTTTAAACAGATTTTAAATATTCATAATTTGTATAATGAACTATTGTTTTGATTTTATATCAGATAAGTAAAAGATAAAAGATAAAGTAATAGTCAAAACTATAATAACTTTTTGAGCATAGGACAAAGATGTATGATTCCAACATTATATGTGTGTGTGTGTATGTATATATATATATATATAAATCACAATTTAAATAATATAAATAAATTGGTCCAACAAGCATTCAATGTGTTTATTAAAGCCAATAAACCAGAGTCTATTAAAAGGTCAAACAATGAAACTAGCTAGGTCCATTATGAATTCTGCATCATTGAATGTTAATGTAAGATTTGATCTATACCAATTATTTGCCAAAAAAATACTAATTATTGAAATAAGTATATATATAGTAAATTGTTTAATTTATATATTTACATAAAATTTACAGAAATATGTTATAAATTATAATATTTAATATAAATTAAATACTGTCTTCATTTTAAATCTTATTTTGATTTAAATAGAAGTAATAAATAAAAATATAGATAGTTATTTCAATAATTTAATAATTGTAGCATAATTATTTTACTTATATCTAGTTTGCATATTTCATGAGATTTACTTCTTTACTAGTTGATTAAATAACTAAAAAACTGTTTTCTTTCACAACTACATGTACCTTAATATAAATAATTAGACTTTGGATTTGTGAAATAAGTAATCTATTAAATTGTATTAATATTTTGCAATAGTTAATTACAGATTTTTTTTAGTAATGGTAGAGTTGATGTGTGCTTTCTCCCTATATTATTAATTTCCAACTATAGTTATTATTTAAACATTGCATTTTGTGGTGATAATGTAATAGTCAATTTTGATCATGGTAATAATTTTAACACTGAATTTTAATAATGTTATCTATAAAATAAAATATCAAGATACCTAGTTATACTGATCACAAATCTATATTTGAAAATTTTTTTAAAGTAATTTTGATAATTTTTAATTATTAATCACAAATAATTGTCAATAATAAATAACCAATTTTTTGTACTTAATCATATTTTGAAGCACACCATTTCCACAATATTACCTGCCACATGAATGATTTAGACTTCTTAACCATAATTATATAAGTAAATTTTAAAATTAAGTACAATGCTATAATAACCATAGGCTGGTTTATATGGAATTATAAAAAAAATATGATTAAGATTAATTCTTATCTATTTATTTATTTAATAATATTGCTCTAAAAAACAAATCTTTAAAAAATGATTATTAATTTTTCTATGCTTAATCAAATAAGTAAGAAAAGCAAGTCTAAAACGGAAATTAAATTTTAACTACAAATAACACAATTATTATTATCTGTGTGCTTATCATAATTTCATAAACCTTGCAAAACTATTTGGTATGACGTACATCAATATAAGTAATTTAATTGTTGATACATGAGTACCTACATTTATCATATTAAAAAAAAGTTGTGTTATAAGAGAATTATACTAACCATAAAGATAGAACTAATTAAACTAATAGTGGTGTAAATAAATTAAATGAACTATAAAACATAGTATTCTTAGACCATCTATTTACACAGGAGCTCCTACAATCTATCTAATATGATAAAGTAACAATGTTTACGATTTTAAAATCGTTTACTATTTCATAAAAATTATAAAATAATTTAATAGAAAAACATTACACGAATAGATTTCTATAAATCTCCATTATGAGCATTACCTTTAAACAAATAATCGTATTCTTCGTCACCATTGCCCATTTTTGCTATCACTAATAGAATTATAAGTTGAAACAGAGAAGTTAATACGGAAAACAAAAGATCACGATAACGTACTTATATAATCCAAATGCGTAAATATTAAAAAAAAACTACTAATAAAAATACATTTCAAATTATCAACGATGACAATGTTTGATAGAGCATAGTTCTGAACGAGTTAAAGAAAAAATTAAATTAACGAATAGAATAAAAAAATTTAAAAACGCAAAATAAAAAAGTCTTGATTATTTTAGTGAGGTTGCATCGAATTTTTCCCGTGACAATTCACGAAATAAGTCATGACTATTGGATGAATTACCAATCAGCAGTAAACAGTGTGCCAGAAAGTGATAATTCAAAATATCTTTCTTAATCAGATACGCCCAACATTATACCGCCAAATATTTAAAAAAAAAAAAAGACTTTACCTGTTATAAAAATCAATAAATATGATATAAAAATAATACAATAAAATGTATATTGAAGAGTTTAAAGATTTAACTGTAATATTAAAAACATTCACAATCACCTAAACCCTCCTACTGATAAAATATTACAAAATTACATCAAATTTATCACCAGACAATTATTCTCCTCATCTTAATTAGCCACATAATTTTTTCATGTGTAATTAAAAAATAAAAATATAACCAACATTGGATCTTATCTTTAAAATAGTGTCACTAGATGATATCTTCATTCATGTGACCATATTTCTTTACTGTTTATAAATAATTCAAATTGTAAATATTTTATCAAAATTGCGACTAGGTAATTACAAATTATTTTGTTTATGAAAATTCGTAAAATAGTTAATATTTATACCAAATGTTTGAAAATTTAATATAATTTTTTCTTTGAATACCTTGTTAAAAAAAAATTAATGCAATTCCGCGAAAAACTTTTATTATATTGTATTTATAATACTAAAAAAATAAGTTTTATAGGTGGAATGGTGCAGTGGCGTATTTACAGGGGGGATCAAGGAAATAAATCCCCCCCATAAGCTGTATACACACAAATAGTTATAGTCATTATATTATTTAAAAATTATTATTATTATTATTATTATTATTATTTTTATCAATAATTGATTAAATTTGCAAGAATTAAAATATTATAATATATTGTACAATATTCTCATTGGTATCTTCATTGACTTCATTTATGCCCCCATGACAAAAACCTAAATACGCCACTGGATTGGTGAATACTTTAGCTTTCAAGCAACTCCCTCCCTTGAATCCACTGATCTTTTTATCTTTTTATTAAATATATTAGTATTACAATGATATGTTTTTTTCTTTTAATCAGTGTACATGATTTATAATAAAAAGAATGATTTAATCTTCAACTTCAAAGATTATAAATAGAATATTTGATAAAATTGGAACTTTTGAAGGGTCAAAAATTCCCAATAGACATTTTTTAAAATAATCTAAAGACAAAAATTATTAGATACTGCAATAAGATTTCAACAAATCAATCTTTTTGTTTTGTTTTAATTCAAAAATGTCATTAATAGAGATTCAGCACCGCTTGTTACTACATATGTTAATATTTACGTAACATAAACATTTTTACAAAATATCTAAATATTTATTTTAATTATAAGTTATTTATGAAATTATAATGTAATAATGTAATATGTGGTTCTGCTAAAAAATCAAATAAGAGAACTATCCAACCTTCCAAAATATCTATTGTCGTATAATTACTGGAGCACCCTGGTATATCTCCAACAATGCAATAAACTCTGACCTAAAAATCTGCTCTGTCGACGAAACTGCTACCATATACAGCAAATGCTTCCACGTAAAACTACAATCTAACTCTAATTAGCTCATAAAGGACTTTGCCATACCAGCACTACCCGAAAATCCAATCAGAAGACTCAAGCGGAATTGGTACCGACACTTAAAAACTGTATAAATTGTAAATTAAAAAGCCACTAGGTGTCTCTAACGTGAAATTTCCTACTATGTTATCATAAGTTTTTAGTCCTTCATTTTTACCATAATTATTATTTATTGTATACCTGTAGAAATTATAATATCCCAAAATAAAGTCATATTTAAAATAATAAAAAGTTATTTATACAATTAATTAAATATTTTAAACTTAAAATCCTTATATTTTAAAAAGTTTGATAATTGATCTCAAATGATCTGTCTAAAATGTGAAAAATGACATCTTTGTTACTTGGTTCAGTATCACAACTAGATACTTTATTACTATGTTCGTCTTGAATCTAATTCGAATGTTATTAACTCTAAAATTGGAAAAATTAGAATCGTTTTTTGGACAACATAAGCCCTCAATATATTTTTTTATAGTATACGTAACTAACTTAAATTTAAGTTCTTTCAAAAATTATAATATTTATCAAAATTTAAAAGTGTATTGTTAAATTAATCTTTTATTTTATAATTATTAATTAGCTTTTCATTAACTATTAGACAATACTTTAGTTTTTACATTTACTTTTGGTTAGTCAGGTTTACCTACTAATTTAATTTTTTTTCTAATAGTTTAAAATCTCTCTCCTTCAACACAGCTTTAGAAACTGTAATAATGATGACTATGCACATTGCACGGATAAACAATGGTAAAAATGTACAATAATAAATAGATGGTAGATGCGAGTTCCCAAATATTTTTGATCTATTTCTAATAAACGTAATATTTTTATTGAGTAAGGACCAGATTTATTATACTGTTTTTGATAAAATATTCTAAGCTATATCTAAATAATGGCGAATAGGTAAATTTAATTAAATTACAAAAAAAACAGGAGTTAAAGTCTAAAATAAAAACAATACGAAAATTTTGCAAAATTGTTCGCCCGGACAGGGACTCGAACCCTGGACCCTTAGGTTAAAAGCCTAATGCTCTACCGACTGAGCTATCCGGGCTATTAGCGTTGCAATAAGTTTTGATTATATTTAAGGAAAATTATATTAAATATTTAAATATATTTATAATTTATTAAAAAATATTATTATTCTAATATAAAAATAATAATTATAGTTTTTTGGAGTACAACAAAAAACATTTAAAAAATAATATCTACTATATTATAAAATTATATTCAATTTAAATTGATAATTATTTTATATCCAGTACAAGATGGCGCTATTAATACATAGTTGTGATTCATTCCGTCGTTGGGCGTGCCATCCTTGCCGTTCCACCCAAACCATGTTGGTTATTACTTGTTACCATCAAAACGGAATTCCTTAATCAAAAAGTAAACTACAAAAGTACAAAACAACTAACAATCGCTTCATCTTTTAATCACGAATAACGTAAGTTCGTGACTAAACGTTTGAACTTTATTCATTTAAACTATTCCGTCCATAAAGTACTTGGTATTTTTTTAGAATTTTTTTAATGTTATGTCTACCAAACGTTTATAAAATATGTTGATTTTATTATATTCGTGATTTTTTATTACTTTGTTTAAAATGAGTGAGATCTTACATATTATTTTAATAGCTTTTGCTATTAGTTTATGCTCAAAGGTTAAAACTGGTAAGTAATAACTGATTGTACTCTTCATCAACTTGATTAGTAGATTTTATATTTATTTTTTAATATCTGAGGGAATAAATAATATCTATATTTTTATTAAATAGTTCATGCCTGATAAATATTTTAAATTTTGATATCCATAAGTATATTTGAATATTTTATACTGTTCAATAAATTATTTACTTAATTTACATTGTTATAGACTCCGATTGTGGTGAACCCTTATTAGAAAAAGCAGTATTGAGAGCAACTTCTTCATTACCAGACAGAGGACCAGAAAATGCTATTCTCAATGGTAATTATAAATTTGTTTTTTATTATTTAGGATAAATACGTTTATTGTTATAAATTAGTTAGTCATGAATGTTGCAATTCATTGTGTTGTTTAAATACCATTATATTTAGGTTAGTTACACTATAGATTAAAAAAATGTTTTATTAATCTAAGAAATTTTTTTTAAAAATTTGTTTCGATATACTTAACTAAAAAAAAAAAGTCATGATTATGAAAATACTGAATTCTAACTAAATCCACATCTAAGCTAATTTTCTCTTACTCACCTATTCCAGTCTGATTTCATTCTTTTTTTTTAATGTTACATCTATAATGTATAGTCTGCTCACTGAAATGACATTTCTACTGATTTCATTTCGAGGTGTTAATATACTTCATCCAATATTCTCAATAACACCTGGTTTAATAACTTATATTTATGTAGACCATGTATTGTTAAATTTAATCATCTATGTATAAGACATAATGGATTACCTAGCCTCTATTTTAAACTTGGCTTAACTGACTTCATTTTTTGCACACTTTATTCATATAAATTCATCTGAGATCTTCCTCTTATTTAATTACCCTACTTATTTAAATCTTTTATAATCCTTAACGTTTCTCTTAATTTCCACTCCATTTTACATACTAAATCTGATTCTTCTATTAAATTTGTTATCATTTTTATATTGGAGCCTGGTTTTTTTTTATATATATAACATACTGTTAGTTTTATTATACTTCGTATTTTATTATTTTTTTTATTTTGTAACTATTGAGCTATCATAGTCTCATACTAGTGGCTTTTTAATAATAAAAAAAATTGATTTTATTAGTTAATAATTTACTAGATAATATATTATATATTAAATAAATAATTAATATATACATAAAAAATATATATATACATACCTCATAGTTGTTAAAAAAGTTATGTTTATCTTGGATCTTTTTATATTATCAACTACGGTAAGACATTTTTTAGTTATTCAACATTGATATTTAAAATTGGCTTATATAATAATACATGTCAGTAAAAAAGCACTAGTAGATTTTATTATTAATTCATTTTTGTATTGTGTTGAGTCACTAAAATTAGTATATTAGTTTGAAAATATAATAAATAATGTACATAATAAGTAGAGTTACATTAATATTATTTACTTGTTTATTATTGGTTACAAATTAAACATTTCATGTTTATTCAAAGAATGTTTCAGGTTATGTATGAAATTTTCTCTTTTTAACTATCGGATTAAAATATAAAAATATTTTTATAACCAAAACCCCTTATTACATATATTTATAAATTTATTTTATAATATTTAAATATTAAAAATTATTTCATTTTAATTATGTCTTATGACTCATAGTGGGATTATATTATAGTTATTAACTTAACAGTAGCAATTAAACATTTCATTATTATAAATACATTAATAGTGAAAAATAAAACATCTTTATTTCCGATTTTTTTTTTATTAATTTAAATTTATAGGCAATTTAATTGATTATAATTTCAGACAAAATAACTTTGATTATAAGTCATAATATATTTGAGATTCTAAAAGATATTCTCTTGGTTTTAAAATAGCTTAATTTTGTTTATTAAAAAATTTAGATATATGACATATTTCCAAAGAATAAAAATTATATTTCTCAATAATTTTTAAAACAAAACCTTTTTTATACAAAAAAATCTCTGTATTTAAATGAATTCTAGTTTTTAACACATTGTTGATTGCCAAATTCAGTTACATTCTCTTAGTCTTATAAACATCAAATATATCATACTGACTTACATTCAACAGAACCATTTTTGTGTTATTAACATTAATATTGAATTTAATTAACCTATTATCGAACTTAAAATATGAATATTATCTAGGAAAGCTCTTGAGTTCTTATTCATATTCCATGTAAAATATTTCGAATGTAAATGCTTTAAAATTAAATTATATGTATTAAAAACTTACAAGATACCCTCAACAATATTATTAGATTAATGTTTGTTAATAGATTTTTCTAATATTCACAATATTAAATGTTAAATGTTCTTTGTTGTGTGTTTATCAGATGGAGGCATTACAATCAGTTTGCCACCCTCTTGATTATTTTTGGATAAGTTGAGTTCTCATAAATAATATTGATTATTATTTTTTTATACTACAAAAAAATATATTATTTTCTGTATTTATTAATCTAGATTTTTATAGTTTTATTTATGAACAATTTTTAAAATATGAGTTTGGTGTTATGTAGATGAAAATACCCAGGTTAAATTACCAGTCAATAACATATATTTGTAATTTTTATATAAATTATCTAATTACAAATTATTCTTTGCATAGCTTATTAAAAATTTTTTATGTAACATATAAATATAAATTAATCAATAGTATAATAACTATTATCTATAACAATAATACAATTAATTTGTATAAAATTATTTAATGAGCATTTTTAAGTATTAAATAAATTGCAATAATAAAATGTATTAGATTAAATATATAAAAATTATTTTTATATTGGTGATTGACTTCGGTTGTTTCCTTTGTTTAGGTGTTTAAATGTATCATAGTGGCTGTTTAATTGTCCTAAAGAATATAAAATTTTATGCACGTCATTTTTAAGAAATTTGCACAGTACAATTCTACAATGACAACATCAAACAGGGTTCGTTGGGTATTCGATTGTGGCAATTGGTTTCCATCAGAAAGTGATTGGTCTAAAGCTTCTCGTTCAATACAACTTGAAGAAAAAGAACGAATTGGTCGATTTGTTTTTAAACGAGATGCTAAACGCTCAATTATAGGACAACTAATGATTAGAAAATTTTTATCAGAAGCTACTCATTTACCTTGGTCTCAAATAAAAACAAAAAGAGATTTAAATAACAAACCCATAATAGAAGGATTTAATTTAAATTTTAACGTATCACATGATGGAAACTTGGTTGTATTAGCTGGTGAAGAAAATATTAGTGTAGGAATAGATGTTATGAAAAACTGTTATAGAGGTGGAAAAACTTTAAACGAATTTTTTAGATTAATGCATAGAAATTTCCATTTAAATGAGTGGGCTTATATTAATAAAGGAACGGATATGAAAAAAATTAGTTCATTCTATCGATTTTGGTGCTTAAAAGAAAGTTATGTAAAAGCAACTGGTACTGGGTTAACAATTGATCTTAAAAAAATATGTTTTGTTCCAAAAAATGAATTGAAAAAAGATTTGATATTGAATGATACTAAATTATTTATTGATAATAAACTAATGTCAGATTGGAGTTTTCATGAATATTTGTATGATGATTATACAATAACTGTATGTATCAAAGGATGTATAACCCCAGTTAACTTTAAGCTTATTACCTTCCAAGACCTAATAAGTAATGCAGAAATGATAACAGAAGAAGATGAACAATACTGTAAATTATACTTGAATAAAGAAGAAGAACCATAACCATAAATTAATTTATATATGTTCTGAAATAAATTATTCTTGTATATTATTATATTTGTATTTTTTTTCAATTATCAAAGCAACATTAATGTTAATATTTGTCTTTTAGATATTATGTAGTTATTTTAAAAATAATATGGAAGGTAATAAGAAAATATATTTGTTTTATGACATAATATCGCATGTTATATAGTAATAGTTATTATATTTATGAAGGATTGGTTGTATCATTTTGTTTTCTTGACAAGCATAATAAAAGGGTTATTTTGATTATGCGTGCCTTGTACAAGTAGTTGCCAAGGAGGAAATGTTATTGACTGGTACCAATAAAAATAAAAAATATTTTATTTATTTTTAGTTGTTTATTTTATTTGTATTATATGTTTGCTGTAAACAAATTATAATCTAATAAGTTTATTTGATTTAAATTATAAGGTAATAATATAATAATAAAATCATCTTATCTATGTTACATGTATATTTATATAGTGATATTAAATTAATACATTCATAGAACAATTCTTAAATATTTCCTATTAATGTTTTTAGTCTGATGTATTTCCTAAAAAGAGAATCAACAATTTATCTCTTTTAAATTCATAAACTGCATTTAATTTTCAACTTATATGTTTTAACTAAAAAGATTTTAGGAAAAAAATTTATAGATCAGTATTTTTTCTATTTTATTATCATTATTTTTGGTAATATGATAAATTTATGAATTTAAATATCTATTTTGCATTTATCACTAATCATAGTGACACTTAAATATTTTTTCTCATCTTTTTTAATTTCATTATTATTTTCTAAACATAATTATTAATAATAAAAATTAAAATAATAGTAAAGCTCAAATGGTCTATTTAATGAAAATTAAATTTTTTTGTAATATAAGGTACTCTATACTATTTAGAAGAGAATCGTGTAACAGATACATGATACAATTTCATCTTAGATAATATACTTTGAGAAAAATAAAATTAGACCTAATTTAATGTGTATGCATATGTATCAGAAACCCCATAATTAATATACTTGAATGAATGTTTTTTTACAGTAGTTAATAAGAAAGTTCCAATTGTGGAAACAAAGTTTTTATAAACAATTTTAATCAATTGTTTTTTAATTTCCAAAATAGCTTTTTTTTAAATTTTTTAAAACAGTATAATATAATTATAAAAATAATCACCGTAATGATTATATTTTAATCAATCCTTAATAAAAGTTGATTTATCTTCAAATATTGGATCCTGGCCTACTCTATAAAGTACTTGTTTGCAATATTATAAACGCATTTCTTCGTCACATTTATTACTTTTGAACAAATTTTGTTTTGTATCACTTTATTTTATTTTTTGTAATATTCTATAAACAAACAAATGATTTGGTAAACCTACCTATATACAGTGATTACGTATAAAAAACCATTTTTGAATTGCAACTACTAAATTTCCAAGAACATTAATAATATAGTCTATATTTGTTTCACTTTTAATCTATTTGATTTATCTCGCTCATTGACTTAAGAGACAAAATTAAGTTTTTAGTAACATTAAAAAAATCAATGAAATAAGTCAACACTATGTTGCTAATTGCATCTTATACTAACCATTATTTGCACTATCTAGTTGATTTACTCTTTATGTATTAACTATTTTTTTCAAACTGTCTCTTGAAAATTTAATAACTAAATTGCTTAAAAAAATAAACAGCATTTAAATAAATTGATTTAAAATAGAGATAATGTGGGTGATATGACACTTCTGAGACATAGGTTGTATGTATATAAATAATTATAGACATGAAATCTAATATTTCATCCTTTTAATAAAATACTATGTTAAACATAAATTTATTTAATCTCAACTTAAAGATGGACTATTTTAAAATTAAGAACAAATAAATTAAAATGTAGAATTATTACATTTATTTAAGTGTTCTTTAAGAGTATTTTAAAATAGTTAATATTTTGCACTTTAAAAATATAGTTTAGTTTTATTTTCGTGTGTTTTTTTGCTTGTGTTGTACTTTAGGACGTAATGCATGGACAGCATACAGCTCTGATTTTGCTCAGTATCTCATAATCGATCTAGGTCAAACCATGACTGTAACATCGATATTGACCCAAGGTAGAGCAGAATCTTCAGAATATGTAGAAACATTTGGTATTAGTTATGGTTCAAATGGTCTAGACTATGCCGAATACAAAGAATCATCAGGAAATACTAAGGTAATTATACACTAATTCTATAGGTACCTGCAATTTTAAAACATTTTCAATATCAACGAATAAGGTGAGTTAGTTAAATTTTAGAGTCTAATATTGATTATAAAGTATGTGGATTTTTTGTTTATATCTAAGAATTTTGTTAGGATATATGGCATGGACTTCTGCATATGATTCTCTTGATCAATATTTCATTATCGAGTTTTCAAATAGAGTGAAAGTATCCTCTATTTCCACTCAAGGCCGGTCTTCCACTTTAGAATTTATCGAGGAATATTGTATACAATACTCAGATAATGGGAAGGGTTGGAAAAATGTTGAAGACTCTCATGGGAATATTGAGGTTTGAGTTTTATGATTGCCTTGAGTGTTGTTTTTAAAGTCAGTAGTGATGTAAAGTTTTGAACACTAATGGTTGTTTTCTCTTATTTAATATTGATTGATTTTTTATATCATGTACCATTTTGATTGTTTTGTTTGCTTTTCAAATATTGCTTAGTTTTAATAATATATTGTATTGTAATACTTGAGTTTGTGTGTGTATGTGTGTGTACTTTTGTTTTAAGTGTTGAAAATTTAATTTTTTTACAATGAACATTACTTATCAATAGATCACATTAATATATTTTATATTTCATTATAGAAATAAATAATAAAGAAAATTTAATTAATATCAATTTTATTGATAGCAATTGCCTGTGGGTATTTTTAAATTAGTATTAATTGAGGATTAATTAATTATTAATTGAGTAATTTAACAATTGGTTTACTTAAATAATTTTTTTGTAGGCTTTAAATGGCGACCAACACAGTGTGTATCACTATGCAATAATTAATGTATGAAGAAAAATTCTGTTGAAAATAAAGAATAAAAATAGATAGATAATATTGATTTATTAGCTGTATAGATATTACTTACTATTTCTGGGTTTGTAAATTACAACTTTAAAAATACTAATTATATCAATATAATAATTTAATTAAATAATTCCAAAGACTTAATTCACCATGTATAACCTTTATTAATTAAAAAATTAGAAAAGCTTTGAATTCTTCTTTTTTATGAGTAAGATTTTATTAGCATGCTATTTAATTTTTTCCCTACAGACGCGTAATATATCATATTTTCAATTAGCAGATACTCATATGTCATAAAAAAATACTAAATAATTCTAATATTTAAATTAACGATACAACATTGATTCTGTTGAATGCAAATTTGTTGTGTTGTAAGTTACTAGCAAAAGAAAAAAATAATGTACTGAGTGATAACATACTTAATGGTATTTCATAAAAAAAAAAATATATGAAATAATTTTGTCTCGTGTTAATAGTATTTATATTTTAAGTGGTTATAAAGCTATGTTAAAGTTCTGCTTGATGATAATTATAAACTGTTATTTATTGAATATAAATGTATTTATGGACTTGTAGTTTAAACGTAAAAATTAAAATAATAATTTAACATATATCTATCAATATTATATATTTTTTTTTATTTGTAGTTATTCAAAGGTAATATTAATGGAGATGATTCTGCCAGAAATATATTTGAGGTTCCCATCATAGCACAATGGATTAGAATTAATCCTACTAGATGGAGAGACAGAATTTCATTAAGATTGGAACTTTATGGATGTCCATACTGTAAATATTCATTATTATTATATTTCATACACATATTTAGTTATTAAAAAAAAATTAACTTTGATTTTAGCATCAGACAGTCTTTATTTCAATGGTACTTCATTGGTACGTTGGAATTTGAGAGATTCTCCTGTTTCTGCTCATAGAGAGTCAATAAGATTTAGGTTCAAAACAAATGTGGCTGATGGAGTTTTATTGTATGGAATTGGATCACAAGGAGACTATTTAGCTTTACAACTCAAAGATAATCGGTTACTATTAAATATAAATTTAGGTATGTTTGAATAATATTTAGAAAAATGTACAGGTTGAAATGTAATAATTGTTATTTCTTTTTTTTTTTTTTAGGATCTCAAATCATGACCAGTCTATCAGTTGGTAGTCTACTAGATGATAACATCTGGCATGAAGTCATAATAATGAGAAATCGACTTGAAGTTGTATTTTCTGTTGATCGTGTTACAATCCAAGGTCGAATTAAAGGAGAATTTGAAAGACTTGATCTTAACCGCGAAGTATGAAAATTAAAATATTTAATAAATTATTTATATTATATATTTATTTGAGTATAACATATATTACTTTATTTATTATAGATATATATAGGTGGTGTACCACATTTAAATGAAGGACTTTTAATTAATACAAATTTTACTGGATGTATTGAAAACTTATATATGAATTCAACAAACATGATATATTTAGTTAAAGAGTCGTACAATTCTGGAGACCCTTGGCTAATGCAAAAATATCAAAAGATAAATACATTATATACTTGTTTGGTATTAAATTATTATTTTAAACTTTAAAATTAAATTTTAAGTTATTAAAATAATGTATTTTTATTAGGAATCTCCTATTGTTCCTGTAACATTTTTATCACGTTCATCATATGCAAGATTAAGAAGTTATGAAGGACTAAAAAAAATTAATATATCATTATCATTTCGAACTTATGAAGAACGAGGGTTATTAGCCCATCATAAATTTTTAATAAATGGATATGTAAAGGTAATTTATTTAAAGGATATTTAAAATAATTGTATTTATTTATTTTCATTATTATATTGTATTTTAATTATTATTTTTTTAATTTAATAGTTATACTTGGAAAATGAACGGATTAAAGTAGAGTTGATGACCAAAGATGATACACGTGTAGTTTTAGACAACTATGAAGAAAGTTTTAATGATGGAAAATGGCATAGTGTAATTTTAATCCTTAAAGAAAATTTTTTGGAACTTAATGTAGATAATAGACCTATGCAGACAATTAGAAAATTAGATTTCTTAACTGGACAAAATAATTTTATTGCCGGTTAGATAAATTATTTTATTGCTTTTGTTTTAAATGTTCATTTAGTCTTATATTTGAAATTATGATAATAATGTAATGTATACTATTTTAGGAGGTATTTATGGTTCAATTGGATTTATTGGATGTATGCGTTTAATTACAATTGATGGAAATTATATGTTACCAACTGATTGGAAACTAGGAGTAAATACTGATGACACAAATTAATATTTACACTTTTAATTCATATAAAATATTTTAATTTTAGGAAGGTTATTGTTGTGATAAAGAAGTATTATTTGATGCTTGTCAAATGAGTGATCGGTGTAATCCAAGTCCGTGTAAACATTCTGGAATATGTAGACAAAACTCTGATGAATTTTTCTGTGATTGTGGTAATACAGGATATAGTGGTGCTGTATGTCAAACACGTAAGGAATTTCATTTTTAAAATTTTAAAATTTAATTTTTTAATTTTTGAATGTTATTAAATAGCATTAAACCCATTGTCATGCCTTGCTTTTAAGAATGTTAATCCAGTAGGACAGAACCATGATATTAAAATAGATGTGGATGGAAGTGGTCCATTAAAACCGTTTCCAGTTACATGTCAATATTATGGTAAATATATTATTTTCATTGTTTTTATTTTCTATAATATGTTTCTATTTTAATTATAATAATTTTCTAATAATATATTATAAAACATATAAAATTTAAACACATTCAAATGTATAGCTGATGGACGTATAGTAACGACAATTAGACATCAAAGTGAAAGTGAATCCACTGTTGATGGTTTTCAAGATCCTGGAAGTTTTAGACAAGATTTCAATTATGATGCAGACTTATTGCAAATTGAAGCACTTATTAATAGGTCACATTCATGTTGGCAACCATTAAGTTATTCTTGTAAACAATCAAGGTTATTTAATTCTCCAGGTATTATAGTTAATAGCTAATGAGAATTATGATTTGTTTATCAATAAATATTAATAACATATTATAATTAAAAGTAAATGGAGAATTGGATTTTCGACCTTATGGATGGTGGGTATCAAGACACAATCAAAAGATGGACTATTGGGGTGGTTCAATTCCAGGATCACATAAATGTCAATGTGGTATAACGGGTGGTTGTTATGATCCTACTAAATGGTGCAATTGTGATTCGGGTAAATAATATAAAAAGATATAAATTGCTTGTTTACACATCTCATTACTGTTTATTTATTTAATAGTATTACCATTATTAAAATTTCTATAGGTCTTGATAGTTGGCACTCAGACGGTGGTGATATAAGAGAAAAAGAGCATCTACCAATAAAACAAGTTAGATTTGGAGACACAGGTACGCCGTTGGATGAAAAAGAAGGAAGGTTTAAAGTTGGACCGTTAATGTGTGAAGGCGACGGTAAATTTCTATTATTTTTTTTTTTTTAAATACAAATTTTTTTTAATAAATTTCTGTTTTTATTTTATTTTATAGAACTATTTAACAATGTTGTAACATTCCGCAAACTTGACTCACAAATTCGTTTACCAACATTTGATTTTGGACAAAATGGTGACATTTATTTTGAGTTTAAAACAACTATTGAGAATGCCATTATTTTTGAAAGTCACGGACCTAAAGATTTTATAAAATTATCACTTATAAGTAATAAAATAATTATCTATTAACTAACTTTTATACAAATTAATAATTATTATCAAACATAACCATTTATTTTTACTTTGATCATTAGGTGGTCACTCTTTACAATTCAGTTACCAAGCTGGTAGTGGACCATTAAATGTTCGTGTGGAAACTTCTGACAAACTAAATGATGATAGATGGCATTCAGTTGTAATTGAAAGAAATAGGTTAGTTTTTCATTAATATTAATTCTTTATTAATACATTTTTTTTATAATTATTAAATTATACTTAAATATAGAAAAGAAAGTAGAATTATTGTAAATGGAGCCTTAAAACAGTCAGTAAGAGAACCTCCTGGTCCTGTGCGTGCAATACACTTGACGTCTGAATTAGTCATTGGTATGTAACCATTAATTAATTATTCATTACTAATTTATATAATTTATTAAATATATGTATTGTTTTAGGTTCATCTACTGACGAACAAAATGGTTTTATTGGTTGCATTAGAGCATTTATGTTAAATGGACAACTTGTAGATTTAAAATCATATGCTGAAAAGCAGTTATATGGTATTTCTCCTGGATGTATTGGTAAATGTGATAGTAATCCTTGTCTTAATAATGGAACATGTTTTGAAAAATATGATGGTTACACTTGTGACTGTCGATGGACTGCATTTAAAGGACCGATTTGTGCAGATGGTAAATTAAATTTTCAAATCTATTTTATAACTATTTTTTTAAGAATTAAGTGTTATAAATGTATAATATACATTTTTTATTAATTTTAATACAAATACGTCATTTATAGAAATTGGTGTAAATCTTAAGGCAAATTCAATGATAAGGTATGATTTTGAAGGAATATGGAGATCGACAATATCTGAAAACATTAGAGTAGGTTTTACAACTACTAATCCAAAAGGGTTCCTACTAGGACTTTTTTCAAATATCTCAAAAGAATACATGACAATTATGGTATCTAATAGTGGTTAGTATTAGATTGTGTTATACTTATTTATTTATTATTATAAAAACAAATAATTCAAATAATAAAATTGTTTCTATTGTTGATAGGTCACTTACGGGTTGTATTTGATTTTGGATTTGAACGTCAAGAATTAATATTTCCAGATCAACATTTTGGTCTTGGACAATACCATGATCTCAGAATTAGAAGAAAAAATTCTGGTTCTACTTTAATCATGGAGGTATTTTAAATCATAATATAATTTAGTTACTATTTCATTGATAATATGTTTTCTTATTTTTATAGGTTGATGGATCAGATCCTAAAGAATTTCATTTCGATATTAAAGAATCTACTGATGCACAATTTAACAATATTCAACATATGTACATTGGCCGTAATTCATCCATGACTGAAGGTTTTGTTGGTTGTATTTCGCGTGTAGAATTTGATGATATTTATCCACTGAAATTATTATTCCAACAAGATGGACCTCCCAATGTCAGTGGAATGAATAGTAAGTGTTACCATTCAATAATTTACAACACAGGAGTATGGTTATCAAACATAATTTTACATGATAAAACATATAATAATTTATTTGATTCTATATTAATTAATAATTATAAAACATATAATTAACATATTGTTTTAATTTTAATTTGATTAATCTAAAGTAAATATTTTTAATTAAATAATCTAGCAACGATAAAAGAAGATTTTTGTGGTGTTGAACCAGTCACACATCCACCACCTATTGTAGAGACTAGACCTCCTCCTATATTAGATGAAAATAAAGTAAAGGCTGCATACAATGAGACTAATTCTGCTTTAATTGGTGGTAAATATACTTAAATTAATTTTAATTCTTTATTAAATGTATTTATTAAAAAAAAAAATATTTTCAGGAATATTTTCGATAATTTTGATAGTAATCCTGATACTCGCATTTTTGGTTGGTCGATATGTGGCTCGTCATAAAGGTGATTATATTACACAAGAAGATCGAGGAGCTGATATTGCATTAGATCCTGATGATGCTGTCATACATTCGACCACTGGACACCAAGTACAGAAAAAACGAGAATGGTTTATTTAATTAAGTTTTTTAATATTATTATTATTATTATTATTATTTAATCCAATGATTATTTTTTAAATTTAATTTTTAGTGAATTTTACTTATTGTTTATATGTTCACTAGAACTAAAAAAAAACAATGATATTTTATATACTTTACTTATTTTTTTTTATGAAAGAACAGATCAACTGAAACCAGTTATTAATTTTTATTTTTTAGTTATTAATAATTTTACTAAATTAAATTATTTACGGTGAATCTCAGAGCATGTTTGCTAAATTTGGATTTACATCGCAACTTGCAATTTAAGCAAATATTATTGTTTGTATGAATACACTTAAAATGATTACTAATATTTACCAATTATTTTATTGAACGCACATTTTATGATTTATTTTCATTTTTATTATTATCAGTATTTTATATTACCATTTTCTTTTAAACTTTTAATTAAATATTTAATAATAATAATGTTATAGGTTATATTGTATAAAATGTATACATTTTATTATTAATAACTATTGTTATTTTTAATTTGTAAATCTCATTTTTTTTTTTTTTTTTGTAAGCTAACATACAGACTGCCTTAAAAATAATTATTGATTATTAAGTATAATATTTTAAGGTGAGTGTTAAGTTTTAAAGGTGAATTTAATAAAACTAATTATTCTTTTATATATTAATGATAAAAAATTTTATTTAAAACTATATTCTTATAATCTATTTACATTTATAATTTGTATTTATAATGGTCATCTATAAGTGTTTGGTTTGATTTATCTAATTATATTTATTATGTTCACCTTGACATTAACTTCTTATCTAAAAGCTATATTTATACTTAATTCTCATATATTATATACACGATCCGTCCATACTATAAGTAGTATTCTTTAAATTTAATATATTTTAAGTAAATTACAATTTTAGAAAGATATATAGTTTTTACTTTAACTAATTAAAGTAAAAGAATTTTTGTAATGTGATATTTTATCAAAATTTTAACTAATATTTGTGTTTAAATACTTTTTTATATGCTATATTGTAGCAAGTTGCACTTTAAAACTTTATGTATTTGTTTTATTAAGTATATATTCTTACTTTGCAAATTGTCACTAACAGATATCTGCTTCTTGTATTTTTATATTTTATATTGTATTATTCACTTTTATGGAAAATATAAATTATTCTTTGTTTAGGAAGCATTTTCTAGATTTGTTGAAAAGTTTATATTTTATAACTTTTTTTTTTCAAATATGAATACAATTTTTATAATAAATAAATTTATCATAAGAAAGTAATTATGTTTTATTTATTAGCATCCATAATTAAATCCTAACATAATATCTCCATTCCATTTTATTTTTAATAAGATAAATATGATTGTAATTTGTAGGTAATGATTACAGTATACATAGTACTGCAAGTATTTGATATAACATGTTTACAATATGTGCGTTGTACTACTTGTATTCATATTTCATATCATGATGTGTACCTACGTAAGTGCATGTAGCGGAAACAGTTGAGCAGTTTATGTTTCTCCACTCGACAAATTTGCGAACTTCCTGGCAATTAAATATGATTCTCCCGAAAGACTACCACAAATATTGAACGATAATTAGTAGGTACGTTATTATCGTGTTATTATTATTATTATTATTATCATACCTACTTAAATAGATTACACTTAAATTATTTCTTGAATTTTTAAATCTTAAGTTAACTAATCAAAAATTATCAATAATTATTATAGTTTAGATGCATAAATTAAAACATTTTATTTATTATTTATAATACATTATAAAATTGTGTAAATTTCCACACCACCTTGGATATTATATCGAATAACAATTTCTAGTAATTATTTTATCGGATATGTTATTTATAAAATCATAAGGTATTACACATAACGGCGCGTTTTTTTTTACTGTGGTTTCCCGAAGTAGGCCTAATCCACATATATTAAATAAATACAATAATATTTACAAGTAAATACACAGTACTAAATTATAACTATAAAAAAAAAAAAAAAAAAAAAAACAATAAATAAACTTAATACTAATATAACAATTATGATTGCCTTTTCTTCACTTTTATTCCACGAAACGAAGCATTAATTTATGTTAAATATTGATATATCTAAATTGATTATCTAAAAAAATATATTTAAAATTATAAAGCATATTACCTATCTATCATTCATTTTTTTTCAGTATAATATATACGCAATACGCAGATATTCAAAACCGTGTTAAAAAAATGAGTTAGAAAATGTTTACGTTTTTTGGCACACTATTGAACAATTCATATTGTAATAAATTTACATTTAAATTAAATATAAAAACACGTAATTATTAAACTAACTATTAAATGAATTGAAAAAACTATAAAAAGTTTTAAGAAAATTAGAAACAAAAAAATAATAATAGAAGTTCATAGTACATAGATATACTAGTAAATTGAATTTACAAATCAAATTAATCGAAGTTACAGCTTAATAATAAAATACAAAAACGTTGCTAAGGAAACTGAGTAGGTAGTATACATTATACGTCTTATTATTGGTTTGACCAATTGAGTTTTTGTCAAGATGGATACCTAGGTATTTAACATTGTCTTGTTGGAGGATTATGTTGTTGTTGATGAATAGGGGATGACTATTAATAGAGCGTAGAGTGAATGTTATGTGGCTAGATTTGGATTCGTTTATTTTTATTCTCCAAAGGCGGAACCAGCTTTGGAGTTGAGTCAGATGATCCTGGAGTTGATTAGAGGACTGATCGAGGTCTGAGTGGGAAGAGATTGTAGCAGTATCGTCAGCGAATGTGGCTATAAAAGTGTCATTAGAGTGAGGTATATCTGAGGTGAAAATGTTGTAGAGGGTACGAGCTAAGATACTATCTTGAGGTATACCTACCATGATATGATGTGTATATAATTAACATCTAAATAGCGAACCGCAAAAGTGCGGCTGATTAGGAAGGACTTAAGTATAAGAAATAAAGGAAACGGAATTTGTAAAGAAGTCCGTCTGACCACACTCGGTCAAAAGCCTGGGCAACGTCGAGGAAAACAGCTTCACAGTGATTTTTTGTTTCAAGAGAAGAGGAGATAATATCAGTTATTCTATGCACTTGATGTAGAGTTGAGTGTTTGTTTCTGAAGCCGAATTGCATATTAGGGATTATATTGAGATCATTAATAATTGGGTATAAATTCTTTTAAGGAGAACTTTTTCAAAGATTTTAGAGAAGGAAGGGAAAAAGACTTATTGGACGATATAAAGAAGGGGATTCTGGAGGTTTGCCAGGTTTATGAATTAATATTATGATGGAATGTTTCTAGATTAGTGGGATAGCAAATAGCAATGAAGGTATATAATTAATTATTAAATGTTTAAATAATATAAAAGTATAAATAAATGTATTTACAGTTCATTATTATAACAATACAACTATAGATGTTAAAATAGTTTTAATAATTTCATAAATATCTATAAACTTATATAGATAAATTATATAGAATAAATTATAGAACTTGTATAGTTGTATATTATAATATATTTGATAATTATATATTTACCATATGTAAATGTAATAATGTATAATATATAATATCTACTTAACTTGATTTATGTACTAACTACTACAATACAAATTATAGTATTAACGGTAACCATTAGCAATAGAATCAAACATGATACCATAAATCGATATGTTTTCTAAAATAATTTTACAATATACTATTTCACCCACATCATGTAGGTTAAATTCTTTCTAAATTAAAAAAAAAAAATAAACACAATTTCTGTGTCCTTTATAGGACACTTTCTGAAAATCTGAAACAGGTTTTGTGGGATACCGTATTTAACATTGCAAAAATTGACATTGTTATTAAACGTAAAATGTTCTGACGTAATATAGTAATATTATACGACGGATAATGTTCGATTTTGAAAGTGAGTAAATCAATGATAAAACGAAAAAAAAATTGTACTTAATTGAAATGATTTTAATTTTAATATTGTAAAAATACATTTAAATCATACATAACATGTGCTTTGAAAAATAAACTATATACCTATTGTTATGAATTTTGTAGAAATTATGCATGTTTTTTTTTTTTATTTAAACATTTTACGTTAAACTAATCATATGTATATTTTAATAACATTTTTAATTTTATTTGAATATTTTGTTTAATAAAATATTATTATTAATTATTATCAATGTGCGCTCAGTTGTCACGGTAAAACATAAACGTGAATGAATTAAACATGAAATTAAAATTCGTTATCATGCACACACACCTGGGAATTGATTGGCACATTATTATACTATTTCGTTGAACTGCCATCATAGCATTCATTTGTCAAAGGTCGACCCTAGCCTAAAATAGTATTTATCAGGCACATATACAAAATACAATTTCAGGGGAAGGGTTACATAATATAGTAATACAAATTGTACCGCATCATAATAAAACAATTTCTTCCTCGTTACTCATTATTTTTTAATATGACAATCATGGGCGTAGCTAGGATTTCAATCAGGGGAGGGGGGAAATTAAAACAAGATTATAAATATGCCAATAATAAATATATTAATAATTTAAAGTAAAATAAAAAAAAACCGGTAGGGTAATTTATAAAATGATTACACGTGTAGATTACATTTGGTCCCACTAAACTATTTTTAGACTTGAATTTTCTTATATCGCGTTTAATTTTTCAATTTTCATGTAAAACTTAATTATTACAAATTAAAAAAGAAATTGTTTTAATTCAATTTGTGGCGCAGGGGTGGGCAAGTGCCCCCCCTGCCCTATCCTCGCTACGCTCATGATGACAATTATTATGCTAAGTATCCGAATTTCATGTATGTAATTTGTTCAAAAGTTTATAAGAACAATTATAATAATAATAAATAAAACTTTAAATGTTATGAACAGAACAGACATTTATTTTATTAGTACCTATATACACATAAAATTACCTAAGTATATTATACTATTAAGTACCTAGATAGAAGAAAAAAAATCAAACAATTTATTTAAATACATTAAAAAATTACAAATTAAAGTATAAAATCCCATTTTCGTGGTAACTTAACAAATCTATCGATAATTTCTACCACATTCAAATCAAAATTTCGGTATATGTTTAGTAGTGCTAATCCAGTAAGTATAATTTCTCTTATATTGTTTCGTAAGTACGTTTTAAGTCTTCGTAGAGTGGAGAATGACCGTTCGCAATAACAATTGTAACAGGTATTGTGGCCAAAATGTACTTTACAGTATTGATTTAATAAATCATAAATTATCAATTTAATAGGAATTTTTAGTCATCGATTGAGATATAAGAAAAGATTATTGACAAAATGTGAGTTTTCTAAGTATATAAAGGCTTATATCGCAATGTACAGTTCTCACACATGCGTAATTCTCAGCAATCAATTATCACTTCATTCGACTATAATACTAGATTATAAACTTGTATTTCATACCATCATACTTGACTAATATAAACAAAATATAACTAACCAATAGCTAGTAATAAAAATATTTTATAATAATAGGTGTATAATTTGACTTAATTTTCAAAGAAATTATTTCGGGGATGGTGGTGGGGGGTTTGAATCCCCCCCCCCCCCCAGTATACGTGCCTGGTATTTATTATTATTATTATTATTATTATTATTATTATTATCATGATAATTCTCATACTGAGACTAGGCTCATTGGAAACTGGTTACAGCGACACATCCACTATCGTTCAGTCGCTGCTAAGTAGTGCTTAAGACGCTTAGGTGTTATGTGTGCAGTAGTATAATATCTATCTTATTCTGTTTCGTGCAAAAATTTCGTCTACACTAGTGTCACAGTCACAGTTGAAAGCAATAATAATACTAAAATTAAAAATGGAGGACAAAGATTCCATGTGGAAAGTATTTTACAATCGGGTACAGCGGAAATTTAGCGCCCAGAGTATTTCGCCGGATATACAGTAATATATTATACTTAAATATCTGTAAATTAATTTTAATTATGCATAAATAATAGTTTAATGATTTGTCTTATTATTATAATTATTTATGTATTAGTTACTGAGGTCTGTAACCGTGGCTATTGCAAAGGATTACTGACTACTGTCTAGTCGTGAAGTGTGTAATTAATTTTTACTTATTTATTTTTAGATATCTCATTTGCCTTAAGGCCAGCCTCGTTACTATATTACTAAAATATTATAATTCAATATTGAAATTATGTGATTTATATTATTAATTTAAACTTGGTATGATTTAATATGAATACATAAAATATTATCATATTATAGTAGTTACGTTCCATAGTTTTAGAAAATGTTTAATTAAAAAGCAATCATTAACAATTTCGGGTGTCTATAAACTATAATTCCCTAGCTTCACAGGTGGACAGTCTATTGCATAACAATAACCTATACTTACAATTAATAAATATTTTTTACATGGGCGAATGTCAAGTACAAGGGATTAGGGAAAGCAATCGTCGCCATTACTACCCTCCTGCTCTAAAAAAAATGTGTTGTCTAACTATACAATATAGTAGGTACCTACTCGTATACATATAAATATTTTTCATTTTTATCATGCATTTATTCTTTGTTTTACTATATTATACTATAGTAAACGACAAATTGAATTGGTAACATTTTTTTTTTTTTAATATTATTTTTATATTATTAATCAATTTAATATTTTTCGAATTAATAGTGTCTTTCGTAACAAAATGTTCTATATATATATTCAAGCCCGGATCAAGAGCTTCAGGGGCCCAAGGGCCAATACATGGTTGTGGGCCCCCGTCAATAAAAACAATTCTTTAAAATTATAAAATTATACAATAAAACAAATTTAAACATTTTTATTTAAGTATGATAACTAAAGAGCAGATTTTTAGGTTCTTAAAAGCTTAAAATATGATGCTAATATGTTCTAAAAAAACCCTAAAATATTCTCTAAATATTCCTTAAACTTGTAAATATGCAGACAATATGATTTGTTTTTTTCCAAAATAATTCAATTAAAACAATAAATAACTTATGTACCATTCCTTTTTGGTAACATATAAAATATTTAACTATAAAAAATACAAAACAGTTCATAGGTTTATGAATACAATGAAATATATTATATAAAAAACAAAATAGTTTAATAAAAACAATACATAACTTGTATGGCCTTTAGTAACAGCTAAGTTATTTAACTATAAAATATAAATCAGTTCATACTTAGTTACCTTTATAAATATAATGAAATATTAATAAAAAAAAAACAAATAAAATTAATAAAAACAAAATTAGTTCATACTTAGTTACCTACTAAACTATATCACATTAGTCGTAAATACTGTATCATTTGTTTTATTATACGACTCTATCCACTGTTTATGTAAATATTTTAAACTTTTGTTAATTTTCGGTATTTAAAAAAAATAAAAATGAATATTACAAATTTAACTAAATCGTTAGACATTAAAGTTAAGATAATGAACAATATAAAAGTAAAAATAGATTTATTATTAGAAATCATTCTTATCACGTTATTATAAGATCGTAAGTACAATCATGAATTAAAAGTAACAGAATGATCATCATTACCAATTTGATTACAAACAAGTAGATAATTGGATGATTTTTAATTTTTATCATTCTAATATAAAATAATTTTTTTTCCTAGACAAAATTGTTGTTGGAAAATATCACAAATCAATAAATTAATAATGTATAATATGATTTTTTATGAACAATAATAGAATATTATATTCTAAAATATGAAAAATAGGTTAAATATTCTCTTAAGTCTAAAATATGCTTTAATATGCTAAATAAATTTTTTCCTACGAACTCTGTGATGGATAAGTCGTCCACATTTTTCACTCTCATAAAGCTGCATAAAACCAATAAAAATATGTAAAAACCTAAAAATCCGCTCTCTAATGATAACGATTGATGAGGATAAAAACATTAAAAAAATATTATATTTTTATTAAAATATATATTTACACATAAAATTAAGTTTTGTTTATGTAAACAGGTTTAGTCGGTAGGTATCTAAATTATGAGTATCCATGACCGAGACAGTCACATAAACAAATTTTCCAAATTCTATTTTTAAATACAGTAATATCAAAATATATGCCTATTCCCAACAAACACAAACATGGCTATGACGCTATGTTTCCCCACTTACCATACTATTGGTGGTAAACACGGTCGACGGGCCTCATCGACTGTTAGCTCAAACAAAAAAAAATTAAAAATATTTTCGTAGGTACTAATGTAGGTACTATAAAAAGTACAAATTATCACTTAATGTAATTTTAAATCGAGAAAACTATGGGCCCTTAACACATGTGGGCCCCGGGGACTTGGCCCCTCCTGCCCCCCCTTAATCCGGGCTTGTAATATATTGTTTTATTAAAACTGAATTATAAACACTCAAAATCATACATTAGACCAAAAAATAAAATAATATTGTAGTTATATACAAATAAAAATTAATAATATAATTGAATGAATCACATGCTTGTATGCACCTAACAGTTGTAACATAGAATAGTAACCACTATTTACATTTAATATGTTGTATTGAGTAAACAATTAAATAACATATTACCATTTACCATTTAGTAATTTATAATGAAAAGATAATTATTATAGTACTTTCCTATAATTTGTATTAACTATGTTTAGCCTTCTTCCAGTTCTTCCTTTGAAAATTTATTAGTTACGCTAGTGATATATAATATTTAAATTATTTTGATACTTAATTTAGGCATATAAAATCTGATTATAGTTTGTGTGAGACATTTTTTATTAATTTTTCATCGTACATTAAAAATATTTTAAAATGTATCATTGATAGATGATAGTAGTATGTTACCTAAGTATCATATTTTTTTATGTGTACCTAAATTTTTTTAGTAATTTCTTATTAAACTCTCAATTGCGTAAACAACTTAATTTCCATTTATATACATCAAAAAAGTAAAATATGCAGTTGATTAAAAATTAGCTACATTAATATTAGTTTATTTAAAATAATTTAGAAACTGATTAACTGTTTCCTAATGTGAACTATACATATACATATATTATTACCGATAGGAATTTGTAAATAATAATTATTAATACATATATGATTTATCCATGTATTATTATTAACAGCTGGTAATATGTAATTCGGTATTATGTTAATTCGAGTTTATTGCTAGAGCTGAATGATTTAATATTTAGGGATAATTATATTTTTTTAAATTGAGCTAAATCTATGATACATTTCAACCTTGCAAGCCAAAATTGTTTGGGGAGTAGTGAGTAGCGACGTAATTAAATTTAAAAGATAAATTTATTATTTTGTTATTATTTTATTCCATCTTAGTTTTATTTGGAAAAAAAAATAAAATCATTTTTTAATTTAATTTTTATTGAATTATTACTTTCCTCACAATAATAACTCGCATATTTTTTAGTTAGGATCTTAAAGTTTAAGATCATAATATCAGTTATTTTATCGAGACAGTTCAAAAAGCTTCACGCGTCGTAAATTGGAGAATTCTGAATTTTACAAAATATGTTAAGTAAATGGTTTTCCTGTTACTCGTATAGTGCTTAACAATACTTTTTGTACACATTATTTTTAATTGGTGAATGTAAACAACATTAATCATATTTAAAATAAATGTGTACATTTATACATTATTTTGTTTATAAACCTATTATATTGTATATTATATAAAAATACCTATGCGTATTATGCACAAAAATGAAAAGTGATAAAATAAATCATAATAATATAAATATATAATAGTAAATTATACGTAAGTATAAGAATTTTTCTATACAAAAATGTATGTTGTAATTTATAATTGTTCATAGATTATTTATTTTTAATTAGTTTTTGAAATCATTATTGTGACATATATGTTAAGAAATGGAACACAGTAGACATGTAGTATTTATAGTCAAACATAATATTAATGGATGTATAATAGTAATAGTTTTATTTTTAATTGTTGCTTATAAATTTATGATAACAGAAAAAATTTAAAAATAATAATAAAAATCGGGATGATTTAGTGATGGCGGCAAAAACTCTTGGAAAGTTATGAAGGCCAGAAGAAGAAGAAGAAGAATAAAAATCAATAAACATTGAATTTAAATATTATCGATTATATAATTATACGGACGCATTATTAAGTACCGGGAAAGAGAAAGAAGGAGAAATATTTGATATTTTGAGAGAATTAACTTTTGATGTTTTTTTTTATTTAAAAACTGGTTTTATGGTTTAATTTCAATTAATGGACAATATACTAGTAAAAATAATTTTTAGTAACGTAGTAATAAGTATAAGCAAGGTCATACTTGAAGGAGGTTGACATTAAAAAAAAAAAAAGTTGAATATAATAATATAATATTAATACAGTATAGATTAAATTTTAAAATCAATATTTATTTACAAAAAAATGCAGATAGGAAATGAAGACAGAATAGTTGTGTAAGACAATTGAATAGAACTTGAGTAGAAAGGTTGTAGGTAAAGAAAACGTAGGATGAGTGCGTGGGTATTTAAAGGACGTGTAAAGATTTTGTTTTAGGAATAGAAAGGTCAGAGGTTAAATGTTAGACGAGTATTTTGTTTACATTATTCCCTCTCTTACTAAGTAGAGATTTATAGATCGGATCAGAAATCCTTTGAAGTTGACAGAATGCAGCCAAGAAAATTTCTAACAAATTGGGATTTTAGTAAAATTTTTCAAAGGATTTAATTTTAAATTTCACAACATTCAATTGTCAAAGTGATTTTTTTTACATTTATGCTTAAAACAATAATGTGAATAAAACTAGGCCAAAATATATTTTTGCAAAATTAATATTGTTATTTTACTAAGATAAAATTAGTCATATATGCATAAAAATATGCACAAAACAACGAAAATACGCACAAAAAATATTTTATATTACTTTATTATTAAGTATTTACTATTCTTACTAAATTACTAATTATTATTTATTAAATTATACTGCCAGGTCACAAAAGAAATGTAGATTTATCAAAAAGCTTTGCTATTGTTGAAAAGTTAGCCTTTTTTAGAACTTTGGATGTTAATAAAAATATTTCACCTGGTCCATCAACCAATACTGTGCCAACAAAAACATTTGCAATAAATCTACCTTTTAAATATTTTCACCAAATTTTGTAACGTATTTATTTACATTAAGCACGTTCGGAATTTTAAATAAATTAAATATTTAACAAAACAACGAACATACTAATAATAGTCAGAACATAAACAACAAACGATAGTGAATTGAATCAAATTTTATTTTTGACAGTCATGAAAGGAAAAATAATCGCATTATACTCGATAAGATAAAAACATCAAATAATAGTCCTATAACAAATGAAAAAAATATGCAATTTCTTTAACTTCTTATCTCTACTTATAATTATTAAGTAATATACGAACATATAGTAATTAGTAATTACAATTTCTAATAAAATTGGCAACGAATAGACACAATAAGCACGTATTATAGCTATATGCCATATTATTCCTTACCTAATAATAACATAACAATTGAAAGATATTATTAAAAAAAATTATTTTATTATTTTATATTTTTAAGAAATTTTTTCACTAGGAAAATCAAAATACCTATACTCGTATCTTTTTACATACATTTAAAGTTTATGTACGTGTATACTGTATATCCTTAAATCATAAATGCCATTAATACATGTATTATGTAATGCTACAATGTATCTTCAATATCGACAATCGTGATCTACATATTATTATGTCATTATTAGTTAGCCATTTAATACACTTTTATCTAAGCTTGCGTAAATAATTTTCTTTATCACAAATTTAATCCTATAATTTAATTTTTTTAGTATTTAATAATATAATATCATTCATATATTTCAAAAGTATTCTTGAATCAAAATTATGTAATTTTATTTTTATATTGTCATGATAAATTTATATTATGTATTGATTTCTACAATTTACAAGTTAAATTAATTTATTTCAGTGTTACTATTATATAAATATATAATATATGTATTTATTTTTTTGGCGTAATTTATAAAATTATAAAATTTAAATTAAGAATTCTATTCAGGACATCTCATAGGATTTTATCAATATAATAATTTAAAATCGAGTTATGAGCATTTTAAAATTGTATTATCTTACATACGTCGTAGCTATATTACACTAAGTTGGAAGCTTATTGTGTTATTAATTGCTTTTATTTCTCCATTATCTTCCTCTTAAATGTATTATCAACATTTTTAGATAAAAGTTTTGTTTATTAAATTGAAACATTGTAAATAATTGGTGTATATTCATTATGAAATATTCATTAAAATAATAAATTCTAAATAAATGTTTGCTTTATTTTAAGAATTTTATTTATTTTATTAAAAATGCAATTCAATTATTTTTAAATGTTATTTTTACAGAGTTGATCAAATAGACGGTAGATTTTTTGAACGTTATGGCTCTGGATTCAAGGATAATTTTGAAAAGAATATCGTTATTGCTGATAAGGATAAATTCGATACTCTAAATGAAAGGGAAATTTTGAAAGTAGACAATGATATTGCTGAGAAGACTCAACTATCTTACAAAGAGTTATTATCGTCATTGTTAGAATTAAATGCAAGTATTTTTTTTTTTTTTTGTATTTACCTAGAGGCTAGAAAAAACTAATCTAGCAAACCTAATTTTTTGATTTTCTCGTATATTTAAAAATATATCGTTTACCTAAAAAATTCATACTCTAAACTTGTTTACTTTTCGTTAATTGTTCACTTCCTATGATTAATAAATTAATTTATCTAAGTATCCATTATTTAGATCTCTATTTAGATATTAGTAATATTACTTTATGCGAATGTTTTACACTCTTACCTAGTCTTCAATAAGATCTACGCAACAAACTTTTATCCCGGTTCCGCAGCTTGTAATTTCTAATCACGCTAAATTAGCTGCTAAACTAATGAATATTTACATTAACTTTTCATCAAACCAACTTGAATATATGGAGTCAATTTCTTTAGAGGGCTCTGTCTGCTCTGATAGTCTGATGATCAGTAAAACTTTTAAATACCAATCTTATTCAATTTTTTAATGTAAAATTTTAAGCACTTTAGCTATAATAGATGCACCCATGCTATGTATCATCACTCCATAGTTAGTACTCAATGACCTTAGAATCTAACCAGTCCATTACGTAATTAAAACGCATAAATAAAATAAATCACTAACGATTTAACAAATATCCAAAATCACATAAATTTACTTATTAAAATGACTTGCACCAACTAATATAACCAGGTAATTCCCAAAACAGCTTAAAGAGATGGTCATGATGTAACGTGCTAATTTATAGTAGTTGCCTATAAATTATAATGATGTACTAGTTGAATAATAATAATAAGTAGAACCAGTCTTATTCAGACCCTTGATAAGACGGAATCCTGTTCTATGTGGACATTTATTATGGTCCCGGCAGATTTTTATAATTTAATATAATAGGGTTAAATCCTTGATAAAACGGAAAGCTATTTTTTAGTCCCGTAAATTATATACATCTTTAAACAAATGAAAAATATATCATAAAATGAACAAAAATATTTTTGATACTCTCATTTATTTTACTATTAAACAATTATTTTAATTTTTATTATTGGCCAGAAAATGTTACAACCTTAAATCTTAATCATATGGAATATTGTAATTCTTTAGCACGGAATTTTCCTTTTTATTCAGTCAGATGGAAACCTGCCTAAAACAAAAACTTTTATTGGCTCCGTGCAATCACATAAAACAGGTTTTACTGTAGTTGTATGAATATAGTAATTCTAATAGGTAAAGACCGGATTTATATTCTCTTAAAATACCTTAAATATGATGTTGATATTCTCTAAAAAAACCTTGAAATATTCTCATAAAAATCTTAAAAATATGCATAAATATTCGAAAATAATCAACAAACATCAATATATGCACTAATGTGCATTTTTACAATTTTTTGTTTTACAACATTCTTTTAAATGTGAGGTATATACGTAATTGCGTATTAAAATGGAATATTATTGTACATCAGTAGTAAGTGTAGGAATATTGTAAAAATATAACAGTATAGGTAGTCTATATAGTATTAAAATTTAAATACAATATTCCTTTGGTATAGTTTAATTAAATGTTGTATTAAACACTATAGTCATAATATGAAAAAATAACAAATAATAATAACAAAATATAACATAATAAAACAAAACAAATTATTAAACTATAGATAATCCTTAAATTATAATTAATATATAATATAAAATAACAATTAAGGTGTATATAAAAACAATATTCTTTTGATTCATGTAATGATAAATATTTATTTTTTAAAGAATAAAAATAAACTTGAAATACGATTTAAATGTTATTATATGAATTAATAATAATATATTTTTCCATATTATCTGTACTCATGTTAGTTCTTCTGTCGCTTAAAATACGTTTGTAGAGACTAAACGAACGTTCAACATCAACGGATGTTAGAAATGCAAACTTCATATCAGCAACTACACTAGGTGTAAAATGTTCTGGGAGATCTTTGTTGTTTCCACATCAAAGGTTTCCAACTTTTACTAACATTTGGTAACCTTTATTTTTTTGACATAATTGAGACACTTTAGTTTTTATTTTGTTACCCTTTTCACCAGGTATATTGGTTAATTTGTAGATAATAGTTTGTACAATCTCCAACGATGACACCAAAGTCAAATTTGATTGTTCTAAATTAGTGATTGCCGTAACCAGATCAGTGAAATGTGCTTTTATATATATCATGTCATTTTTTACTGAATCTAACATAAACATCTGTCTACATTTTTCAACACTAGTAGCTGAATCATTGTCCAAATTCTCTATAACAATTTTTATTCCCAAGTAGTGGTCAGTATAAATAGTTACTGCTTCAATCCATGTGCCCCATCTAGTAACGACTGGTTCTGGTGGTAGTGGAACGCCTGGAAGTTCTTCTCTATAAAGTTGAACTCTAGAAGGTGACTTAAAAAATGATTTTTTTATGTTGTTGATTAATATATTAACATTTGGGTGGATTTCTCTGACTTTTTTCAGCAATTCTATTTAGCATATGTGCAAAAGAGGTTGTATGTATAATATTAGCATAAAATACCTTCAAAATATCTCCAGTTTTTATCATATAGGGGGCAGCATCTGATAGCATTAAAAGTACTTTTTCATCATGACCACCCGTAGGCCATAATATTTTAAGACTGTTATTTATAAATTGTGACACTGTAGAATGATTTGTTTTGTCAAGTTCTTTGCACAAAATAAGATATGGTTGTGTTGGCATATCATTTTTAAGAACTCCAACTAATAGATTTGCAATATACCACCCTTTTAAATCAGTAGTTTCATCAACAGTAAATCATATATCTGAATCTCCAATATGATTTCTTATTGAATCAAGAGTTTTTTCAAACAATGGCCCAAGATAATTCTTGCGAAGAGTACTCTCGTCAGGTATATGGTGTCCAGTATATTTTTCCAAAAAAGTTTTAAACTGAGGAACTTGTAATTTACTCCATGGGATGTTAGCCGATATTAAAGATGCACAAAGTTCCTCAGTGAAAATATTTAGCGTTTTAGATTTAGCATCTAATACAAACAGTTGCTTTTTATTATTTGTTTGGTTTAGGTCACTGTTTGGCACTATAGCAGATTACAACAGAAATAGCACATTTGGTTTGAGCAGCACACGCGTACGATTTATCTTTAGAAGTGCTATTTCATTTGAGTATTCAAAACAGTTTTTTCACTCTCGAATAACTCAATCATTCTCCGAAGTTTTGTATAAAATGAAGTCTAATTTTAAAGCAAAACATTTTAACTTAGGGGTGTTAAAAAAGAAGAGATGCAAAGAAGAAATGAAAATCAATTAGAGTTTATGACATTTTGTCTAGTTGATATTTGATAATAAATAAATAACAACAAGACGTCAAAAGTTTAAATGGTATAAATATATACGTATTTTTCTATTACAGATAAACGAATTATACGAAGAAGTATTGTACGAAATATTACATTGTATTGGGAAGGAAAAAACTTGTTTAAATCAAGAAAATATAATCGAATTTGCCCGAAATGCATTTAAAATTGAACAAGATACTCACGAAGCTATTTATAAAGCCGTTATGGAAAAAGAAGTAAACTGCTATCAATTTTATCCTAATTAATAATTATTATAAATCCAGTGATATGTAATAACTAAATTATTAATGTTTAATATCTGTTTAAAAGGCTCCAAACATAATGTTAAACATTGAAATCATCGAAGCGAAAGATATAAAACCAAAAGATGCAAATGGTTTCAGTGATCCATTTTGTACCTTATTTTTGTCTTCTACCCAACAACATAAATATAACACGTCGGTGAAAAGTCAAACTCTGCGGCCAGTCTGGGAAGAACACTTTTCACTGTAAGAATTTCCAAAATTATTTATTACATATAATATTAGAAAAAAAATCAAAACTAGGTATTAAATTTAGGCCAGTCGAGACTCCTGCTAATAATATTTTATGTGTGAAAGTTTTGGACTTTGATCCGGTGATAACATTAAAAAAAAAAGTTACAAATTTTGGTGACATTAAAGGATTTAAAGGAATGAAAAAGTATATGAAAGACTTCGCGGTAACTGCTACGAACAGTGAATTTATCGGCGGTACACTAATACCACTTAAGGTAATTATTATATATTTAATTTTTCACTTTTTCTTAGCGACTGACGGTTAAACATATTTTTTGTTGTTATTATATACAGACAATACCTTCTCGAGGTCAAATAGCTTGGTACAGTTTGGAGAAAAAAGGCAAGGGCAAGCCGCAAGGGAATTTGTTATTAAAATTGTCGTTTGGCAGTAAAAAAAATAAACAAGTTGCTGCTCAAGAACATAGACACCTACTACGAGTATTGTTAGCTTACCAAATGAATGTACAAAAGGTGAATTTTCATTTAAAATAAATTAAATCAAAACTAAATCTAATATTTAATTTTAGCCTGAAATGAATTCATGGAAGGGTGATTTTTTACCTGAGTCTAGCTTAATAATTCAACAGCATGTTGCACAAAGTAATGTCAGCACTGTTGATGAGTGTTTGAGCCAATGGATAGAATACATTAACGCTCATGTGTTGAGTCCTGTGGTAAATTTTAAAGTATTTTCGGACATACTAGATATTTTAGTTAAATCCATAACTACTGGACATTTATCCAATGAAGAGGTAAATAATTATTACTGACGTTTTAATGTAAATTTTTAATAAATATTTATATTATGATGTTCAGTTAAAAATGTTCTGGCAATCGTCTAAAAAAATATTACCATTTTGCTTTAATGCTATTCGAACAATACGTAAAAAATCTGCAGATGATGAACAGTTATTGAATCAAATAGAATACGTTTTAAAGTAAATTTAATGATATTATTTTAGGAAGACGTTGTTATTAAATGCAATTTTGAAATTTTTAGTATATTACGAAATCTATCATTATTGGAGTTACCAAGTGACTTAGACCTCTTTCCATCTGATGTTTATGATTGGTTGTTACCATGCGAACACACCAGAGACATAAAGAGTACATTGCACGATGCTGTCGTCCATGGTGCTGTGGAATGGTTAGAATTTATTTTTACATCGAATCATTGGTTATTTTTCTATTGGGTTTTATGTGTTTATACAGGCACGTTCACATATTAGAAAACAACAAACCCGATGACTTTACGGATGAAGGACAGATGAAACTTCAGCTTAAAATAATTCAACTTCTTAAACTAGATTTGCAGAAAGCCATAGAGTTTCATAACAAGTTATTTATCAAGTAAGATTAATCTTATACTCATAAAGTATTAAAAAATACATTTTAAATCAATATTATTTATTAATTTAAAGGAAAATGCAATTTCCGTATGCCAGTACACTATTTTCAATATACGAATGTAAAATATCTGAAATGTGTGAGCCATTTATCACTCTCATTTGTATGAATATGAAGCCAATTAATTTTGAAGAAAACGGGCGGTTTCAAGTTGACAATGATCCGCTTGCAATGGGAACGTCACTTTTTGATCTTTATATGGGGATTCAGAAATTTGTCGAGTAATTTTTTACTGTGCTTTGTGTGATTCACAAAAATAATAAAAATAACATGGTTTTAAAAATATTTTTAGTTTAGGAAAAAATAACTGCAATGTAGACTTTGAGACGAATAGTCATTTAGTCAAGTATCATTTATGGTTCCAACAAGGTGTTGCTAGGTGGTTGGATATTGCCTCGTACAAAGCCATGCAACGCATTGAAAGAGCTGTAGACTTGGACAAGTTAGTCAAAGTGGACACATCAGTGGATTGTAGTTCATCAGCAGTCGACACAATAGCAATATTCTACCAAATAAAAGTGTTTTGGCAACAACTAGCATGGCCTGATGCCGAAGGTTCTTATTCATTCGTGGCAAAGATAATTGATCACATTTGCATGTGTTCTGTATACTTTTCGGACAAAACAGCTTATAAAGTTAATAGTACTGTGATTGAAAATAAAAGATTCGAAGTCACTAAAGAAGTAATAAATAAATTTAAAAATATATTGGCAAATTAAAAAAAAAAACTTGACTAATAAAAAAAGTTTATTTAGTTTTTAACTATTTCACTTAACTAAATAACTTATTTTCTAATAAATCTAATAACTTAATAGTTAATGTATCCATTATGATAATTTGGACTTTTCCAATAAAATAAAAATTATATTTATTTTTATTACTATATTTAGTTTAATTTAAACTCTTCATATTTTTTTTTACAATTATTATAAATTTAAGTAAATAAATATATATTCCTTGATTCAATAATTTTGTTGACACAGAATTATAATTGCATAAATCATAACAGCTTGTGAACAAAAAGGAAGAATTGATAGTAGGATGTATTTTTAATAAAATGTTTAATCATTATTTAAAAAAATGTATAGGTACTTAACGCAATTAAGTTAACATTTTCCCCTATATTCAATTAAAATTTTTTGAGTTAAACATAATATTAGTAAGTAATTAACTTATGAATTATCATTAACATGGTTATTTTTTTTTTATTAATTTGCCCATTTTTTAGAATTGTACGATGGTTTAACTTTTATCGTGCCTTATCCTTTACCTTAAATTAATAATAAATAAACATTTTATAATTTTTAGTGGTGCTTAGCCGTAAACAATATAGATTATGTAAAACAAAATATCCGGCAATTTGTAAATGATTTGGGTATAACACAGTTGATGAACAGTTTAGCAAACTATAAGCGTGAAATTTCAGAAGATCATTGTAAAAAAACACTGGATTTAGTCGTTGATAATGCAATTGATACAGTAAACAACAAAATTATAGATCTTTTACAGACAGTAGTGAACAAAGTATGAGTAAAATGAACATTTAAGAAAAAGATAATTAACTTTTTTAATAGTTCTGTTTTAGTTAGTTTTTTTTTTTTTTTAGATGTCTCCTGAAATAAGTAAATTTTTGATTGAAGGTGCAGAAGTTTTTAATACAAACAATAATCATTTAGACAATTTAATGTTATATTTGGATGAAAATCTATGTACTTTAAGTAAGGAACTTAACAAAGAAAATTTTCAACGTATACTTGACATTATAGTTGATCAAATAGCAACAATAATGTATAATCTTATACAAAATATTTTAGAAGTAAGAAATTTATATAGTATTTATTTATTCTGATGATATTAATTATTTTTTTTTGTTTACACATTTTAATAGAAAAAAAAACCACCTACATATTTTAGGAATCTAAGAGACAGTTTTCATATTTTGTTTGGATTTTTGAGAAAAGATAATACGGAATATAAGAGTGAAACAATTCAAAAGCTTGAAGCATTATTGCATTTACATACGTTAGATACTGAAAACCTTATACATGAATATTATTTAGAAAGACTTCAAAAACAAAAGGAGATCCAAGAGGCTAATGAAGGAGTATTAACTGTTAAATTGATATTTATTAACAATGTTCTCAAAGTAGATATACTAAATGCAAATGGAATAAAAGCAATGGACTCTAATGGTATTTAAGTATAAATATTTTAGATAAACATGTATATATTGACATGTAAATCAGAAGTTTCACAAAATATTGTTTTAAAGGTTTTAGCGATCCATTTGTTAAAGTATGTTTGCTGCCCAAAGACAAATTTCAACATACCAATAAACCAACAACAGTAGTACAGAAAAAAACTTTGTACCCTTTATTTGATGAATGTTTTAAAATGTTTGTATTGTATAGCTTACAAAAGAATTTTTAATTTAACTAAGTAACAATTTAATCGTTAATTTGCTTACAGTTCTCTAACTCCTGAACAACGCACTGAAGAAAATGGTTTAGTTATGTTTATAGTAAAAGATCAAGATTTCATGGGAATGAAAAATGAGTTTGTATCTGAAGCATTTATACATTTTAAAGATATTCCATTTACACAGTTAGAAAATGACTTAGGAAGCATACCTCAAATTAAATTAAAGCTAACGTCTCCAAAATCTCTAGGTAATTATTAATAAATTAATTCTTATATTTTATTACCAAATGGATATAAATATTTATTTTTTAAACATAGATTCAAAAATTCTCAAAGCTCTTGATAGTAGATCAACAGACAAATTGGCAAAAGATTTTCTTAAGAGAGAAAAAATAAAAATTGCAACAGCAAATTCAACGCCGAAAAAATGACTACACTCTATTACAGGACGAATTAAGCATTATACGTCTACATTGATACGAAAACTTAAAAACTCATATTGATTTGGTGTACAGGGGCTGATACAGTTTTCCCGATTTTGATAACAGCTAGATATCACCAAATTAAATTTCGGGAGATCAGTTATATCAACTTTAGAACAACAATTTTCCCGCATCAAAATAATAAAAAAAAAAGTTTTTTACAAAGCCGACGTTGCCAACATTATATCACAAAAATCTTTATTTAAAATAGCTAAAATCCTAACTACCGCTGCTCATCAATTATAACTACTGTTTATCAATACTAACTTAAATGCGAATTTAAAACATGTTTTTTATGCATAAATGAATACAATTATTGCCCGAGTTGCATACTAAAAAGCATTAGTATTAGTAGTGACATTATTGTGGGGGCAAGGTATCATAATGAAAATTGTTTTTAGATTTGCGTAAAACAAACTATAAAGTAGTAACTATACATCGAATACATTTAAATATATTGCAGTATTATTGCAATCACTAATAAAACTATTCGAATTATTGTCAATGCAGTTAAAGAACTTCAATGAACATAACATTTCCTATCGATAGACATAACACTTTTACTTCAGGACCAAAGTCTACCTTTTTATGAGAAATTTCATAGGTACCTAAACAAACTAATACAAGATAAAACTAATTTCAATATAAAAGATAAAACATGAATAATATGAAATTCATTCAATGAAAAAATACTCGATGTATTCTGTATAACTATAACTTATAATTTATTTAAAGTAAAAACTGCATATGAATGCGGAGTGACGAATAATCGTAGAAAAATCATAATTAATGTTTTTACTATCTATCGTATAATAAATACTAATAGTAGGTAGTACGATGCAACTATGCATTAATAATGTTGAATCTACTTAATAAGTCATTCTTTTTTTTAAGTTTTAACCTAACATGAGTCCTGTCTAAATGAGAATTTTATTGTTATATCATAAGGTTACCTACCTATATCAATAAATTGTACTCAAATAAAAATGTAGACTATAGATAGGTAGTTATTCTTGTATAAAACCTTTTTAAACATTTTCAAATCAGAGTGCGTAGATAAACATTATTAAGAGACAGCAGCTAGTGTCTGCTCTTGCTGCGCTTACAGACAGCCTGATCCTGCCCAATAAATTGGCCACTGGTAAGAACAAGTAATTTATTGGTCTAAATATATTAGGTAAATATTAGGACTGTTCATTTATTTCAGAAATCATTTACAACCGTTTTAGGCGATTATGAATTAGTTCGATTATCTAATGTTTGTTATTTTGAATAGCTCTTTTAAGTTTAATGTTTAGTTTTTGAAATGTTTTAATTCATATTTATAATAATATGTTAAACGTATGAGAAATGTATTAATTCTGCTTTTGTTAAGTTAATGAACAAGTAACACTATATTGTCTATTTTATTAGATAGTGTATACTTGAAATAGAGATATATTATGTATTTTATTATTTTACTGAAATATATACAGTTATAAAAGTGTTTTGTTTGGATAATTTTACAATTATTGAATATTTTTGCTATTTTCTTGTAAATTATTAAATATATATAATAATATTGTAGTCTAGGTTTTCATAATATTGTAATGGTTTTTCGTCTAAAATAGATTTTGACTTTTACTTAATTATTATTTTAGACATTTTACTTAATCTTATATCTTTCAATATTGGTTCTATATTTTAGAAGCCTTTAAAAATCAAATTAGATGCCTCCGAGATTATTTTTTGGCCCGTGAAAAGTTTTTTTTTAACTTGATGAGTCGGTTAATAAATTGTGCGTTCTAAATGTGAATTAAAAAAAAAATAAAAAATTGGCAGGAAATTTTATTTTATCGATTTATTGATCTTAAAATTAATATGTGACTTACATAAAAGTCAAAATTTGATATTGAAACGTCACTTCGTAGAACTTCGAAAATTACTAAATTATATGATCAATATTAAAGAAGTTAGTTTTCAAAGATTTTTGAATGTCAAAAAACGTAGGTATACCTATTATAATAGGTAAATCAAATTTTTTAATTCAAATCATTAATGAAATGTACATAACAAATCGGTTGTAATTGAAATTTGAGACACACACAATGATCCATTATGAAAAAAAAAAATGGAAATGTTGTTATGATATTCACATCATTACGCCACAAAATTTTATACCTGAATATCCCAACAACATTTAATATGTTAATCTTGAATCCAATAATCGGTGGCTTGTTTTCCTTTACTGTCCTCCTATACCTTAGCTAGTATATTAATCTATAATCATGCGTTAATATTAATTTTTGATACTAATCCTAGTTAATTTTTTACTATACAATACGTATACATTTATGCATAACGACTAACTACGTGATGTTTTAGTTGTAATCGACACCATTATAAATTTTAAATATTTTTTTAATTAATTTCATGCAAATCAATTTATTGGATTAACACTGCAAATTTTACAAAAATTATATGTAGTTTTACATTTTTGAATAGTAAAGCAGCTGAATACAATATTTGAAAAACTTTTGAGCTACCACTCTAAATAAATATATATACCAATAAAATAAAAACAATTAGTAAAAATAATCAATGTCTACATAACTGGTATTAATGATTTTTCATATTATAATTAACATTAATAACTTTCTGTACTTCTTTAAATTCTTAATGGTGGCATTCAATTTTTTTAATTTCAATTGAGTATCTATGCGCATCATATTATTTATTAATCAGATTAAAAATTTAATAAAATAATATCTTGGATATTTATTATTTAGGTACATTAAGAGACATTGTTTACGATATACAATGAAGTATCTACATTAACCAATACTTCAACACTTCTTAAATATACTTAATATTAATAATAACAACAAATTTATAATACATCTTTCTACTATAATATTAGAGAAACTAAATAACATTTGAATTTCAGAATTTTATTAAATATACATGTATCTTTAAATGTAAAGGTAGATGATAATAAATTAAAGACAACTATCATTACAGCTTTTAACACATCAATCTTTAAATTACAAATATCCTATAAGAAAAAAGTTACTGTTTAGTAATTAAGATTAGTAATTATAGTATCAATTATTGGAAAATATACACTTATTCTAATAAGTGAACTAAAAAATTAATTATAGCAATAAGAAAAAACAATGAGTGCTAAAGACCCTTTGGCACCCTCATAGATTATAGATACGCCAATGGTACTTATAAAATAAACTATAATATTATATTTTATCAAGTATATAGTATATTATTAAAGTTTGATCAATGAATTAAATACAAATAATAAAAAATGATGAAAACCTAACTTCACCGATTAAAAGCTAACTAAACAGGGTGTTAATTTATAGAAGATAAAATTTCTCATTATACATTTATCGAGAAATTGCAATTAGTATGAAATCTATTTCTTATTTATTTATTTATTTGCAGGCGAATAAAGCGGGAATTTGGATTTTATCTAAATTTTGGAGGTTGCTTTATTTTTTTGTTCTTATCAGGTTTGCTGTTTATCACTTGCTATCAAAATCGGGAAAACTGTACCCATCCTCTTAGTAGACTCCAGCAGTAACTTCATGTATGCCTTTTGAATTTTTGATAATCACTATCTTTTATATTTATTCGTTAACACTCGTCACTCATTCACATTTCACAGTAGTCAGTACTCAGTATTCAGTAGTCACTATTAACCACGTGAAGGTTAAATTCATGATATCAATTTAATTAATAAAATTATACTTCATTTTAAAGCCGGTATCCCTTTTTCCGACGCATTATTTTAAAGTAAAATAACTTACAAATTACGTAGCTATAATCTGTATTTTTATTTGTGTTATGTTCTATTGTACTAATACTTAATGGCATTATAATGGTGATAGAAAAAATAGAACTTCCAAGTTCCAATATATTGCTGTCTAGTGTATTGAATGTATAAAAAAACGATTACAAAGTATGTACACAGAATATAATCAGTATTAGAAATAATTAAGTCATTTATTATTATTTCTATAATGATTTTATTTGAATGTTATAAATAATAAACAACTATTTAATATTGATATTTGTCGAAAATTGCATTTGTTTATTAAAATGTTAATGACTTAAAAGTTATTAGCTTTTATCTGTAACTGCTGAAGTTACACTAGTTGATTCAAACAGTATTTATTTATGAATTCTCTATAATATGAATAAATAACTTTATAATGATGTTTTTTTTTTTAGATCGGCTATTTATTTAAAAAATCATGGATTCTAAATTTAATTCGAATAATACACCATTAATTGATGACCCTCGGTTTCGAATAAAACCAGTACAACAAATTGCTGCTGCTTGTACAGGAGCATTAATTACTTCCTTTTTTGGTATAGTTATTAAATTTGGTTGTATTAAAATTAACTTAAAAATAATATGAATTTAAACATTTTTAGTTACTCCATTGGATGTCATTAAAGTACGCATGCAAGCACAATCTAGAATTACAAATAAACATAAATGTTTTTTTTATTCCAATGGTTTAATGGATCATATTTGCCCATGTAATACATTAAAAAAAAATACCTCTGATAAACCTTATTACCGAAATGTTCAATGGTTCAACAGGCCTAGCCAATTTAATGGAACTCTTGTAAAGATATTTTAATTTAATGAAGTTATATAAATTAAAAAAAAAATATATAATTTTGTTACTTAGGATGCTTTTAAACAAATTAGTAAAAATGAAGGAGTTTGGTCATTATGGAGTGGACTAAGTCCGACATTAATACTTGCAGTACCTGCCACGATTGTTTATTTCGTATCGTATGAACAAATACGATGTTATCTTCATGATTTAACCAAACCATTTTATGCAAACAATAATCAAAATCAACCATTATGGATATCTGGTTTATCAGGATGTATTGCTCGTTTTGGAGCTGCTACATCAGTTAGTCCATTAGAACTCATTCGTACAAAAATGCAATCAAAAAAACTAAGTTATTTAGAAGTACATCAAGCATTGCAAAGCTTATTAGAGTATCATGGTTACAAAGGATTATGGAAAGGTCTTGGTTCTACCCTTCTTAGAGATGTTCCATTTTCTGGTAAGTTATAACTATTTTATTTCATCTGGTTTTATAATTTTATCATATAATAAAAGAAATTCTTGTGAACAGTACCAAAAATGTTGATGTTATTATTTAAAAATGATTACTTTTTTAATTTAATATAATGTTTTTAAAGGTATATATTGGGTTATGTATGAACATATTAAACAAATATCTGGCCAACCAACATCATTTATGTACAACTTTTTAGCAGGAAGCATAGCTGGAGCGGTAATAAAGTTTAATTAAAATTTTAACTTAAATAAAAATTAAATTTATATAACAGCACTATAGGCTTTAATTATTAATTAATTTGTATTAAATTTCAATAAATTAACATATATTAAAACTCATCTTATATTTTATAACATAATGAGAAGTATTATTTAATTTTACCCTGACACATTTTTTATTTTTATTAAATATTTATTGAAAATATATTTTACTATATTTGTATGATATAGCTATTGTCTATAAAATTACTTATACTAGTACTATATTTATTCTTTATTTTAATAATTGTTGGATAGAAGTTAAAATTATCGGCTAATTTATACTTAATTCAGAATAAGATTGAACCGCTTCTATACATGTACATCACCCAGTACAAAAATTCTTCTATTAAAAATAGTTTTTTAACAATTTTGGAAGAGCCAACAAATATCACTGATTATTTTAAGAAATTACATATTACAGAAACTAAAAAATAATTCATTCTAAAATTTATTTATTAATTTTTTTTTTTAATTAATATTTTATATACTTTATTTTCCAATAATTAAGTAAAGGTTAAATGTTTTAGTTGGCTGCCGCATTAACAACACCATTTGATGTTGTCAAAACAATTCGTCAAATTGAATTAACTGAAAAAGAAATTATAACAGGTTATTATTATTAATAATAATAATAATGATTAGAGCACAGATTTTTATGTAATAAAATGTAGTCAAAATATTTAAATATATACGTTGTTATTTTTGTTTAAACACATATTTAACAAAAAATGTTATCTAATATTCACTATTAAAATTTAAATAATAAAAAAAGAAAAGTACTAAACAGAAAATTTAATAATAAACTAGATCTGCTTGTCATCAGTGTAATAGATTATATAATAGTTGTGCAAATATTAACAAGAATTATTTATCTATTAATATTTTATTTATTATAACAAATTGACCATATTTCTCACAAAATACTGATTATTTCAATACGTCTATGAATAAACAATAATACAAAATATTTAACTAAATGTGATTATTTGTAAAAAAAAAATGCATTTACTTAAAAAAATGAGAAAATATGTAATAAGTAATAGTTTTATTTTATTTATGGTGTTATGAAATATTCTCATTTTTATCAGAATTAATAAATTCAATAACATTATGTATTTACATAAAAATGTGTGCTTTAATGTTGATAAAATAATTAAATTTTGTATTTGAATGAATTAAATACTTAGTAGTTATTTCAGAACCTCCTGGAAAAGCTTCCAAATGGACATTCAAAGCAATTATTGACCTATATCAGACAAATGGAACACATGCAATTTTTAGGGGTTTAGTTCCTCGGATAATCAAAGTAGCGCCTGCATGTGCCATAATGGTATCCACATTTGAATATGGAAAAACATTTTTTCAGAATAGAAATATGCAAATTTATTATAAAAATATTGAAGAAATACTTTAATATGAAAAAAAAAGTTGGAAAAATTTATTTGTAAAATTATTCATGGTTACCATAAAAATACTAAATATATTATTATGTCACATTTGTAAATATTGTTGTTTTGTTTTTTTTTATTGTATATAGATATTAAATATATGATTAATTATCACAAAAAATAATATTATTTATCTTGTTTTTACAAGAAAGGTTAGTAAGTTGGTACTGCTCTGCTATACTATAGTCGATTTTGAGCAGATCTCTGTAATAGATGTCTGATGTATTAAATTTGAATTAATGATAAATCATTACACAAAAAATGATTCTAAGCGGATACGATCCATCAATCTACTACAATAAAAATTTCATGATTGTTTGATAATTTTATCAAAGTAATTTATTTTTCGATTTTACAATTTAATTTTTATCGAAAATATTATTTTTGTAAAATATAATAATTTATGTTGAAAGTTTCAATTATCCTAAAATTATATAATTAAATTTTCTAGGTTTTTAAAGAAACTAAATATTTGTTATAGACAGTTAAAAAAAACATCAACATTTTTAATTATTTATGCAAATTTGACTCAAAAATATAAATGTATCCAAATTCTAAATTAAGTATTAAAAAACTAAATTATGATAGACACAAAAAAACACATTGTAAAATCAGTACACTCATCGCTTAGCTTAGAATAAAAACTAATAAATGTTACAAAGTTTTACTTACTTAATTTAAGTGTTGTGAAAATTAGACTATGATTTATAGAAAAAGCTAATTTAATCATTTGGTAAAAATCTCAAGTGTCTACAGTTTTTCGTTTTTGAATCATAAAAAAAAAAAAAATCATTAAATTGTTAATTTTTAATTTACACATCACGCATATTCAGTTTTCTTAAAATTTATAATCCAAACGCTCATAAAAAATGTTTGTGAAATTATGTTCAACTTTTTTTTTTAAATTTTATTTCACTGAAACCTGCTTCTCACGATGCAAATGTTCGCTTGAACGTGTTTAATTTTTAGCGAATATTCGCACTCTAGTTAAGACGCTTTATATACATTGCGAACGGTGAAACACAAAATATCATGGAAAACCATATGTATTAAATTTGCAAATTTTTAGCTGAATGAAAAAATTTTAATAATCGATAAAATAGTGAAAAACAGAAAAAAAAAGTAGGTAATCGAAATTTAACATACATATCTTTAAATAGCTCACGGATTAAAGTATTTCTAAAATATTACTATGTCTAGATTAAAACTATTTTGTAAAATTATCAATTATCTACAGTTATTTATGTTTGAATTACAACAAAATTAATTTTGATTCATATTTTTTATCTCTAATTTTTCCTAACTGATTAATTATTACATATACCTACATGAATATTTAATATGTTATATCAATTATCATACTATATTTATATTTTATAGGTATATACCGCATATTTAATGATGTAGGTATTGCTAAACTAATTCATAGGTACCTATAGTATATCTATATACTATACTTACCAACTTACCTATATATATATATATAATTTTTTTATTAGTTTTTAATACATAACTATAATAGCTCAACAATTATTTAATAAATATATATTATCATGCCTTAAGTAAGCTTCATGTGTCAGTAGCTTCACTCGTAATACTTGAGATTGAGGTTATGGATTCTCCATTTTGGTTTAATCTATGAACATTAGATATTCATGGTTTAGTCATATAGAATAGGTACATACTTGGATGTATTTATGGCATATTTACATTATGCTCCTAATTCCTATATAAACATATAGTAATTTAATAAACTATTACAGCTATTTAACACATAGGTAAATTTTTTGTATAAATAGGATGTAATATATTTATATACTGAGTACAAATCAAAAATATATAAACCTACACTTTAAAGTTTAGGTAATATAATATGTAATATAAGTACTAATTAATAGTAAAAAGTTATTTATAAGATGTGTAAATACAAAAAACTGAAATTCATAGTTTAGATACTAAATTTCTTTTTAATTTATAAAAAATGAATATTTATTTAACATCATAAAATATGTTATGACTTATAATCCTATTTGTTATGTAGTGTTAATATGAATAATAACACACGTACTTTGTAGTCCTTTATTGTTAGGTAACTCTCTAAATTGTAATGAATAAGTTCTAAAAGTGCCTACTTACCGATGGATAGTCCCCACCGATCATATAGGTAATATGATATTTATAAATTTATAATTATCATTAATATAAACCAACGTGTGATATACATAAATGCTGAATATGCAACACTATTAGTTAACAATTTATTGATCCCAAATTGTATAAATAAAAATAAATTTAAAATCTGAAGAAAAAATTTAAATGATACTTGACCCCCAGTTTCTTTAGTTGCGCCACTACAGATGTATAAAGTTTAGCGAATAGTCAATCTCAACTCACAAGTGTCATTGTCTAAAAATAAAAATAAAAAAAAAATTATTTAATATTAATTGAATATGATTTATAATTGGTTTTATATTTTTGTAAATTCATATACCTATAAATTTTCAATAATTGGCTCAGTGAAGTCGGCACTATCTAAATGGTTTAAGCTTATAGTATTTCAAAATTCTAAAATTTAATTTGTTATTATTTAATAATTAATATATAACTACTAATTAAGTAATTTTGAATAATGATTAAAAATCAACAATAATTAACACTCAATTATACTTAACTAGCTATAAGTTATAAATTTATAAATAATACCTACGAATATTTATTATTATATACCGAATAAAAAATATAAATATTATATTGATAATTTTTGTAAAATAATAATCTATTAATACCTAATGAGTAATGGTTAATGTTATTACTAACTATAGAGTATTAATTTTTACGGATAAATGATTTATACTTACCAACCTACCCATCCACCCATCAATCCAAAATTTTAATTTTTTAAGTACATACTTAGCGTTACTAATAATCATTTTGATATAAATAAATGAATTCATTTACGTAAAATTTGTTAATACGTACACGTTATATTATAATTTTTCCTTTACAAATAAAAATGTATGATCAAGGACCAAGGTGAAGTACCTGCATGATATATAGTATATATACATGCAAGTTAATTATTTGATAACAATTTTTTTTATATAATAGATAAATATAATTAAACAAAATAATAAAACATAAAAATAAATAAGATGTATTATTTTCTTACATCAGGTTTCCATCAAATCTTTAACAATCATTTACATACATTTATATTATACTGCAAATTTGTAACAATTAACAATATTTTTAAGCTTTCATTCTTTAGGATAATGATCAGAATATTTTGATAAATGATCTTCTAGTGAGTTCATTTGTTCTCTGAAAAAACAAAAATATTAAATATATTTTCATTGAAATTATACAAATTCTTTTAATAGTTTTTTTTTTTTTTCTGATATTATTACATTTATAACTTTAATTTACTTATGTACGGTTAAATATTACAATACAATGTTAAGTTATTATAAGTATATTATTTATTTTATTTAATACCTCGATAGTAATAATCAAAATTATCATTAAATAGATTAAATGTGAGTTGTGACTTACTTTAAAATTTAATATTTATACATTTATAACATAGTTCCATTAATGGCAATGTAAACTCCCTAACTATCTGTTAAGATTTATTTAAATTTATTAATAGCATGAATTTAAAAAAAAAACTGTTTTATAATCTTATATTTACTAAATTACTCTTGTACCTATAGCAATAGGAGAATAAATGGAGAAAGTAGGTAACTGGTACTTGGTAGAGGTATGCACAGGTCGAAAATTTGCAGTCTTGGTCGTCCGATAACCTTTTTTAACAGCCTGGTCGAACCCGAGTACAATTTATTACGTGTAAGCTCGACCCGAATAAGTCTTCATTTCTTTTTTTAATTAACTCAGTCTCGAAGCATGGCGAGATTAAACACAGATACAATAAAATGTCTATGATTTTAAATAAACAGGAAGCTAGCTTGCAATAATCAAAACACATAATTTCATATCATATGTGTTAAAATGTCGCATTTTTACGGGACTGTTTTTATCAAATAAAAACTAATAACAAATAATATTTTCTTATTATGAACCTAAATAAATAATTCATGAATTCCAGTCCAGCCCGGGAAGGGTTAATTTTGAGCCGATTCGGCAAATGTATGTCTTTAATAAGTGGTTAATGTTCTGCTATATAGTAGGTGTTGTATATAACTATATCCTATACCTTATGAATGACTAATTAGTCGTTTAGATAATTAGTATGTGTTAAATTTGGATTCAATGATGAATCATGGCATACGACTATACGTCTATACGATATTACGATAAATTATTACTAAGTATATTTTATAGTTTATTTATTTTACAATTAGGTATATTGTGTTGGTAGTACCTAATACGTGGTAGTTTGAATTAATTTTTGGCAAACAATTGCATCTGAAAATATCATTACTCGTATATAAATAAGAGTCCATACGAATAATATTTTCAAATTACAACAGAATAACTAAAATTGTTAATCTTTATTTAAACACCTACTTTTATCAAAATGTTAACTTAAAATAACTTTATATATATAATATAATATATAGACAACACTTGATTAAATTATTTTTATATTGTTTGGTTATAATAGGGGCGAATTTAGGTATGTGGTGGCCCTTAGGCGAAATGCATTGTGGAGGCCCCTTATGCATAAACAAGGAAATATATTTTTTTACTTATTAAATAACATTGATTATTATATTTAGTAGTAGTAACAGTTAATTACTTATTAAATAATAAATAATTATAAAAAACAATCAAATCGAGTATAACTAGTTTACTAGTATAAGTAATATCATCATAATATTAAGTGTAAGTAATTAAATAAAGAATAATAATAAATAATAATGTCAAGCAATTAAAATTAAATGCCTGGAACTTTCCTTAATTTTATTTGTACAAATTTATTAATAATGTTATGAAAATCAAATTTTCTTAAAATATTGAACTCATAGCTCATTATCACTAACTGATTGAGTCTGTATTCATCCATAGAAGTACGCAATCTATTTTTTATGTACTTTAAATTAAAGAATGATCTTTCACTACTGCTGTTTATAAACAGATAAATGCGAAGAACTACGACATTTTGACGAATAATTCCAGACCCACGTGAGCATATAGGTATTTTAGAAAATCATTTATTAATATTATTACAGTCGACGGTGCCACCAATCACGGACAGCATAAAAACCTATCTTATTTAGAATCTTAGACACTGTTCATTGTCAATAAATGCGAATACATTTATTATTAGTTAGTAAAATTAAAATATTTAAATGTCCAAGTAAAGTTCAATATTATTTATTACAACTTGTATTCAATTTTTAAACATTTTAGTACATCGAAAAAACTAAAAATCAAATATCTATAAATAATTTAAAAAGAGGAAATTTTATTATGTGTAAAAAATACTTATATACCTAAGTATTTAGTAAAATTTTCAAGTTCATTCATTTTTGAATTACACAAAAATAACAAAATATATTTTGTGAAATGCATTTAAATTGCTATTTTTCTTTAATTTTTTTATTTTTTTCCTCAATTATTTCAAAAAGAACTAGACAATAAAAATTAATTATTTTTGACTTCGAAAAATACTATTTAGATTAAATTTGCTACAAGAAACAATCCTCAAAATTGAAGATCGAACCATTTTTACTACCGCAAAATGTGATGACAAACACACAAAAATACTTTAAAATAAAAAACGAAAACAAAATATTGATAGCAGATGTATAAAAATATTTATCATCATTGATTTTAGAATAAACTATATTCTAAATTCAATACTATTATTAATGTTTTATATTTATTTATACAAAACCTATGTTATATTATGTTGTATTTGTATACAATAGCGTAGACAGGAGGGTTTTGACCTTTTGGATGTTTTACCTCCATTGATTTTTATTTAATTGTTTTAATATTTTTAATCATTCAGTAAATTAACAATCAAAATAAGAAAACTACGGTTAATATAATGAATTCAAATACTTTTATATTATAAACAAAGTAATTCTAATTAAAATTCATATTTTGAATGACCTTCTTTTTAGTTTTTTATGTTCTAACTCGCTAGATTTTAATTTTCTAAAAAGTGACCCTTTAGTCATTTTGAGTTGCCCATCCTTGGTAAATACCTAAACCTTAACCCCCACCCCGCCTATTCAAAAATTCTGGCTATGCCACCGCTTGTATTTAACTATAATTATATAACTAAATTTATTTATACTTACAACAGATTATTTGGAATTTCGTGATAAACATCATTAAACATTTCTCTCCAATTCGGTTTATTTTTTTTTGATGCAACTGCAAATGACTGCATTAACTAAAATAAATTAATAAAAATATAAAGAACATATAAACGTAACGTATTTTTTTTTTTATATGAATAATTATTGTATAATTAATTATATTTACTTGTTTTTTAGTTTCTTTTTCATACTCAACATCATTTTGATCATTCCAAAGATTATTTTTCTCAAGTAATTGCTTGAATCTTATAATTGGATTTTTATTTGCCCATTGTTTAATCTCGTCTTTAGATCTGTATGCAGTACTATCATCAGAAGTACTGTGATGTCCTCGCCTAATTTGATTTTAATTTGATAATATAATTCTAATATAAAAATTAATTATTTATTACAAAGAATACCTATAAGTCATAGCTTCTAATAAAATAGGTCTTGAGTTAGTCATAACATATTCTCGAGCTTTTAAAACTGCATTATACACTGCAAGAATATCATTGCCATCGACACGAATAGTAGCAATTCCATAACCAGGTCCATAACTTACAATACCATCTCCTCTATACTGTTCATTTGCTGGTGTTGATATAGCATATCCATTATTACGACTTAACATAATATTATTATTTTTAGTTTGAACAATAAACTTTAAGTTATTTTTATTTACCAAAAAAAATATTATTGGACAGTCCAGGGTAGACGCAAAATTAAATGCACCATGTGCATCTCCTTCGCTTGAAGCTCCCTCACCAAAATAAGCAATAGTACAACGATTTGTTTTTGACCTTTTGAACGAATATGCTGATCCGACAGCTTTAAGATTTAAAAACAAATATCAGCTTAGTATAATGTTTTATTAAAATTAAATATATCAATTTAAGTATATGTATAATAACTTATACCTTGAGGTAACTGAGTAGCAAGTGGAGACGAAAGAGTTACAAAACTAAGATTTGTAGATCCATAATGTATTGGCATTTGTTTTCCTTTACTAAAATCATCTATATTACCAAAACATTGATTCATACATTGTTCAGGAGAAAATCCTCTGTATAATAAAACTCCTATAAAATAATAGTTATTAAATAAAGTAATTAATTATTATTTTAATAATGAGTGAAGACTGAAGACAATGAAGTAAATACCAGCTTCTCTATATTGCCCATACACAAGATCATTAGAATGTAATCCTGCTGCACTACCAATTTGTACTGCTTCTTCACCTTCATTTGTCATATAAAATGATATTCTGCCTTGCCTTTGAGATTCATACAATATTTTATCCATTATAGATAGCAAAACCATAGATTTATACATTTTTATCAACTCATCATTTTCTGGTATCTGTGTTTAAATATTGCTAATATTTAGTACAATAAATTATTAAATTAATTATTATTTTTTTTTTTTTACTTACAATTATAGATTTACAATTGTTAGATATGTCTCCAGTATCATTCAATATTTTAAAAATAGGCACTGAGCTATTTAAAGGCGGTTCATTTATATCTAAATTTGATGTATAATTAACTTTATTGATTCCCCGATAAACAGGCTCTTCTATGTTAGCTGATATTGTACTACTTAGCATACATTGTTTCTAAAATATATTAACACAAACATAAATTAATAATAAATCCTGAATAACTAATTGCTATATTTTATGAAGACCTACTCTCATTTCTCATTAATAAACTTTGAATATGAACAGAAATAAAATATTAATGAATCCAAAATCATAAGAAATGAGTTATGTGTTAATTTTGATAGAATTATTTCAATAAAATAAATGAATGTACTTATTTTATTTATTATTACCCGTCATAAATATGAAAAACAATTATGTAAATATCGTAATAAGAATCAAACATAAAAATACGTAAAATTTGTTTATCCTATAAAATACATTTAATCCCCTTCCTCTCTGTCCCAAAATATTTATGACAAAAATATAAAATTGCGTATATTATTCCAATAATTTTTAAACATAATTTATAACATGACTAAATTTGGTCTGTGATTTATATTATGAATTTTTTTAAATTGATATTATTCTTTTTTTTTTTTTTTTTTTTGTTAACGTCTAAAACTTTATAATGTATAAAATTATTAAAAAAGTATTAGTTAACATTATAAAATCTGTCCAACTGCAACCACAGTTGTTATAAGCTCATAGTCATATATTAACAATATTTTTTGTTTATTGATATATTGATGTATAAGGTAAATGTATTATTACCTGTTACGATAGTAATAAAGGCAACTTTTTTCATAAATTAATACTGAATATATTTAGCTCATTTGAGTATGCTGAATAATTATTAGACCAAATTAAAGAGCCAAATTCTAGGTTTGATCTAACTAAAGAAGTACACAATTTTTTTAAACATATAGGATTTCTATAGTCCTTAGTATGTCCTGTAATAAATCCCAAACATTGTATATTCCTTATTTATCACTTATTTTTAAAAATAGATCAAATTCAAAACAAATGCTTAAATTTGTAATAGATGGACATCTTTCAAGAGGATGGTTATTAATAAAGTAATTATGAAAAATATGACTTTTACTGCGTGATAAAAGTTATAATTATACATTTATCATAATTTAAAAATAGATAGTTTTTTTTATTTTATAATACAATCTTATTTAAATTAGATTGTAACAAATTTTGGTCAGCAACATTTTTGATTTTACAGTAAATTTTAACATCATCAGCAAACATCAAAATGTTCACTGAACTATCTAGAATAAGAGGAAGATCGTTAATGAAAATATGGAAAAGAAGTGGTCCCAAATGAGATCCTTGTGGAACTCCTAAGGTAATTAAATATTCATTGGAATAGTGAAAAGAAATTTTAACTACTTGAAATCTATTGTAAAGATAAGAAGATAACCAATTTAGAAAGTTTTCATTAAATCCAAAATGTTTTAACTTTAAAAGTAATAAAGAGTGATTAACTTTATCAAACGCCTTTTCAAAATCGATATATATATTGCATCCATCTGATAACCTTGATCAAAACTGTTGATAAGAAAATTTTAATTAACTAATTAGTTAGTATTATTAGAGTGCTTAAGTAAAATCCATGCCGAGACATTATAAATGTATACGATATACATACCATATTTTATTTGGTTTTGTAAATGAATATTATGTGAAGTGACAATATAATCTGTAAGCCCCACTTTGAAGGACAGATCTGAGTTAAAATAAAAATATAGTAGGGGTTATAAGTGCTTTGCTCATCACGGACTTGTCATAATAAATTTGTCTAGCTGCCCATTCCCTCTTACAAAAATCCTAGATTCACCACTGTAAACACTATAATACCTAATAACTCACATAAAATTAAATTATACTTAATGAAGTAGTTAATAAAAAAGTCATGCAGATAGGCCACAAAGACAGCAGAGTGTGCACTTTCCGGATAAGCTACAATTAAAAGATCTGGCCAAGTCTAATCAGCTGAGTCATTATTAACTGTGAATATATCTAACTATCCTTTAGCAGTGGCGTATAAAGCGAGATGGCTCAGAGAAGTAATTAGGTACAAAATGCTTTTAAAATAAAAACCAAGTATGTTATTTCAATTTTTTATTGTTGGTGCCAACATTTTCATAGACCATTTAAATCCACTACTAGGCTAAAATCATTATATAGACGTCTTTTTGTTGTTGTTTTTTTTTTTTTGGGGGGGGGCTTTTTTATTTACACCATCTATTTTGATATCATTCTCTATTCTATCTAACCATCTCTTATTCAGTCTTCTCTCTTTCTCTTTCTTTCCTTCAAAATTAATTTCCATAGCCGCCCCCATTACCTCTAAATCGCTTTACCTCGTAACTTCGAATTTCAAAACTGTAGAATATTTGTGTAATTTATTTAAGATAATGGCACTTATATTAATATAAAAAAGTCATTATTATTACTATTTTTATTTGATTATGTGTAATTTTAATTTATTTATAAATTTATATTTATCTTTTGGTTACCTACAGTAATATTTACATTTGGTAAATACATTTATGGATATAAGTACCTTAATAAAAAAAATACTTATCTTATCCTAATTTATAAAATAGCTCGCCCTGAACTAAAAATATATAGTATAGATAGTAAAATAAAACCTAAAATGTATGCTTCATAGGCATTGGATACCTTAACTCACGATGACATAATATGCAATCCAATTAATTTGTTGTCTAGGGTTGCTCGGTTCGTTTCGATTTACCGTATGTAATCCGTCAGTCCGGGTTAATTCCTAGTTTGACGTTTATTTTACTTTTATGAATTCGACTTAAAGATTATTGAACACAAACTATTTGTTTAAAGAAAAGTTAACTATTTATATTAATATTTAATTACCGTTATGAAATTATAAAATGAATTATATTAATCTTTACTAAATCGCTGGCTTTACACGACTGAGTTACAATAGACAGCAATTGCATTGTTATAAGAATAATCAAAAAAAAAAAAATAAATAAAATACATTACGCTTACATGGCTAAAATGTCTGAGTATTTATTAAAAAAAAATAGCATATACTCTTAATATTATACAGCCAAGGATTCCCAACAAATTCATACTTTTAAAAATCGCTATTTTAATTTAATAACAAGTTATAGAGTTATAAAAATAAAAATATTTATTATTATAAAACAATATTAAAACTCAATATCCCATTTAAAACAGTTAGTTATATAGGAGCTTATATCTTATTTGACAGGCCATAGAAGGCGTTTAAAAAAAAAATAGTATGTATGCATACCAAGCATAGATTTTGTAAAATAACATTTTTTACCTACCTGTAAAATAATGCTATATTTACAATTTGTAAAAGAAAATAATAAGAAAAATATAGGTAATATTTATTTTTATATATTTTATTAATATGATGTAGATACTCCCTCAAAAAAAATTTAAAAAAATGAGCCACATTCATATTTCACTAAAAAAATATCTGAGCCACATTTCTAAAGAAACTTTTATCATGGAGTGTATCTTTAGGGACGTATGTAATTTGCGCCAAAAACAACCCCCAAAAAAATATGTCTTTTGCGCCACATCTAAAAATTTATTTTGGTAATTTGCGCCAAATAAAACAAAATAAAAAGGCATTATGTAATCTGTACCATCGAATACCTACTAAAATTGTAATTTACGCCATTGTTCACTTTATAAAAATTTTAATTAGCGCCACTAATATTAAAGTTATAAATAAATGTATGTAAGTAAAACAAACTCCATGTATATTAAATAAGTAAATTTTCTTTTAGTATTAAGATGTATAAAAATCAATATAAAAATTACGTTGCAGGACACGCATCTAGTACGTATTATTGTATATCCTATACGATATCAGTAAATTTATCTGCTGGTAAATTGCAACTGCTATTGAAGTTGTGGCGTAAGTTGCATATTCTATTTCATTTACTGTCGTGGCGCAAAATAATAAAATTAATTTGATTACGTTGCGCAAAATACTGTTATATTTTTATATTTTGACGCAAATTACATATTTACTTAAATGTACCTATTCATGGCGCAAATTACAAGTAATAAAATTGGCGTAAAATACCATCTCCCTTCTTTAGTAACCACCTAAAATTGTTTAATTAATGATATTCAAAATTCCAAATACAGTATTAAAAGTGAATTAATATTTTATTGTACTACATTTGTCCCTTACAATTCGAGTATAAAAAAGCGATCAAGCAAGTAACCGTTCTGCTGTACAACTACATATATAGGTATTGAGTAAACCTCTTTCATTGAGTAAATTTACTTTAATCTGTGTGTTAAAGTTAAATTCAATGATAAATAATTGTACACGAATTATAACTCAAATCTAAGGTCAGATAAGTACATAATATCATATATTTATATTATAAATTATAATTATTTATTTTAGTAATTTATTTTACTATTTACTTATTAGTAATATGGTATAAATTAGATATAAAATATTATAATAGATAAAAACCAGTAGCTTAAAATTTATCTTGATTACCTATAAGTATAAACTAAAATAGTATATACATAAAAGTTTTAACTCTCCGCGAATAATTTTATTTAATTACTTCTAAATAATTAAAATTATTGATATTAGTTTAAATATTTGATTTTGTCCATATTTTGATTTCAATTACCTACAAGTCTCAGCTATAAAAATTAAACATTTTATACATTTTTAACTACAAAATAAATTCCGAATTTCGTGATTTTGAAAAATATTAATTGAAAATGCTTTTAAAAAAAATGTATTTCAATAAGATATCTTTAATATTTTTAAAAAAATTTGATAATAACTTGACAAATTTTGTATTCACTTTTCAAGCTTTTTGAACAAGTAAAAATAGCTCAAATACAATCAAGATATTAAACTTTACTATAAAAAAAAAAACATTTATTAAACATTTCAAGTACTTACCTATGGTTATTTGTTTTTGAAATATGAAAAATACTTATATTATACTACTTATTATTAAAGTTCATAAGTCGACTATAATCACTGATATTGTTGAATACTAATTAGGTGTTATTTATTATTAGCTAAGATATTAATATTATGTATGTATAACTTATATTGATTAGAATCATAAGCATATTAAAACTAAAATATGTTGAGGTAAAGTTCTACCAACATTACAAAATACATTATAAGAACTCTAGTTTTCTTTCTTTTTGTATTTATATTTTATAGTTTTAATTTTCAAATATTTCAGTGCATTTGACTATTTAAACGTTTAATATTTTTCAATGGCATATTAATCATATTATATTTTTTGTATTTTACATTATTATCAATACTATGATGCATCTTAAAACTATTATATAAAAAAAAAATGTTTGTACACTAAGAGATTCTTTTATTAAACAACACTCATTATTTAAAAATCTATAACGCATTTTAAAATATTTTTTTATATAAATACATAATGATCATTTCCATTTTGATATAAAAAATTATTTTAACATATTTGTTATCATTGTAACTTTTAAGTTTACTTTAGTGAAAGACAACAAAAAATTTTAATTTCATATTCACAAATAGAATATTTCTCGAAATATTTCAATAGATACACAAAAATCAAAATCCGAACGAGTAGTTTGAGTTATAAATGTTTAAAGTTTTGGTGTGAGGTGTGGAGTGGAACGAAGAAACCTCATTAAATGTTGGTCTACTACTTTACTCATCAAAACTTTAAATATTTATATATTATAACTCATCCAAAATTTGATTTATTTATGTATTGAAACATTCCGAAAAATATTATGCTTCAGAATATGGAATTATAAATATATCTTATCTTTTAAATAAAAAACTTAAAAAATATACAACGATAAATATTAAAAAAAAAAATTTTTTTTAAATGTTTGTTCCATAAGAACTAGAAATTATGTAAGACAAAATTAATATATTTTGAAGTAGGTAATGAATTTTGTTTAATAAAAAAATCACCAAGTATAATATGTGAATATATTGTTATTGTTAAAATATTAAATGTATTACTTTAAACAGTTTTATGTTGATCAATCTCTTAAGCATGATCACTGCAGAATATAATCGTGTATCGTTCAAAATTCAAAAAAAAAAAAATATGAGAAAACTTTTTACACAGTAACAATGCCGGTACACTAACGATGAAATACTCAAATGTCCGTCTACCACACTTTTTTTCTAATCAGATACTAATACGGTTTAGGTACTCATAGAACACCGAGAATACGCCGGTCGGCAACAATAACACAGTGCGTCATGCGTGTTTTGACACCTGTAACCTGCTGTGGATTATCTACGTTTTACGTGACCGATGCTTTAGCCAGCAACGGGCCCCGCTCGCCAGATGCCTAAGAGTTCCATGGGCAGACCGGCACCGCTAATAATTTTGTTTAGCATAATATTATTCTTTGGCACAGCCGCACAGGTAGACGGCAGCGCAGCCATGTTACGTATAGTGTACGAGCGTATGGCACTCGGTTGGCGGCAGTGAGCGATGCCGGTGCGGCAGTGCTTGGTTAGCGTCATCGTCCGTAGAAAAGAGATAGTTTGAACGTTGAATAAAGGTTCACTCACTTCACAGCAATGCTCGGCGGGGTGTGGGCGACGCACGCGTGTTTACTGTTTACGTTCCGTACCGCGGTAAACATGTACATAATACGTCCAGCGGTAACCACAGTGCCACCGACGCGCGGGACGGCGTGTTTCGGGCTGCCGGTATTGGGCGCACTGACGTCGGACTGACGCCATCGAAGAGTCGGGTTTGTGTTGATTCGTTTGTTGTGTTTGGCTATGTGGTTCTAATTTACAATTATAGTTATTATTTTTGGGTGCAAGTGAGTTCGCTAGCTTCATAATTTGTCTTCAGTCCAACCGATTAAACAACAATAACAATAATAATAACACTGCCGTACTCGACGGTCCCGGCTTGTGTGTATTCGTTTCTGCTGCGCGCAAGGTGCCCAAAACATACTCGTTGCTCTCCGCGCGTTCGACCCGTTGTCGGAAATCGGTCGGATTTCAGTTAACGGTATTGGCTGTTATGGGCGGAACGCCTAAGAATATCCTTCACTTGTTTCAAAGAGTGCCGAACTACGTTGCCTGCTACTAGACCAAGGAATACGCCAAGGTAAATACCACTCGATAAGCCCGCCATCATTTTTCGATATTGTACGGTATGCACGGTCGTGCGTCGACTGTCGGTGTTCGTTTGTCAAGCCAAATTGATCTTTTATATTGCATGGTTAGGTTATTGGTGATCCATACGCGCGTTTAGCTCTTCCCTAATCCCTCGTTTTTCAGTGGTGTGTATGGGATAGACCTACTCATATTATCTTTGAGTAATGTGTATACTAAACATAGTCTATAAACTATTCACTGACACAAACAGTTACCTGTGGTTCACAGTAAATAGTTACAATTTCAGATGTCAAGGCATTTGATTGGGATCCAAGAGTACTTCTTTCTTTGGCACCCAAACATAGAGAATGGCTTATACTAAATATATTATGTGATTTTGTTATCTGGTATTGAAATAGTGTTAATATCATGGGCTTTGTTAATTTTGAATGCTTTAAAATTGTATACATATTATGTGGTATAGATTCCACTTAACTGGTGCGTTTAATAATTCTTATTTAACTTTAATTATTTTAAGATTAATATCTTAACAGTTTTGAAGAAATATTATATTTGATGAGTATTAATGTTTATAAAATAATTAATCCATTAACAGATTAGATTTCTTATATAAATTAGATACTACATGCATTCACAATAAATTTTAATAATCGCCATTTGTTGATAAACTAAATTTGCTAATTAGTTTGATTTATAATTGTTTAATGAACTTAATTTTTCAAATTAAAAATGTTGTAAAAAAAAAAAAAAAATTAATATTAATAACATTTATTAGTGTTATTAAAATACCTTTTTTTATAATAAGGCAAATAAATTATAAATATTATAATTATAATTTGCAAGTATAATACAAATCTATATCTATTATATAGGTACATTTTTATTATTTATTATAGTTAAAATAATCTGAATTGTATTATTTAAATTACTATCTAGAGGTATATTAAAGATAAGATAATTTTCTATGAATTATACAAAAATAAAATTCCACTGTGGGAATTAAAAACAAATTATGGTTATTAATGAGTTGTCTTAATTCTTATTGTTTAATGTTAATGACAGATATTTTAATAATTTAAGGTATACCTACCTTATTGAAAATTAAATATGTTTATGAAATTTACTTATTATAAATTAATAATGTTGAACATCTTAAATTAAAAACTGTAATTCATTATGTAAAGTTAAATTGTGATTAAAATATTTTTTTAATTGAACAATTTTGTTAGAAGTTTCACCTAAAAATACTTGTTGTATTGATAAAAAAAAAATTATTGATATCAAAACATTTTGGTCTAAAGTTTGCTTGATTTTTTAATAAAATATTTTATAACAGTTGACACTAATATAAATTATTGTCCTTAATAATAAATAATACTTTTATATGTTAACTTAGTTATATATTTTATATAGGTATACCTTATAAGAAAAACTTTCAAATTAATAATATACTGAAATAATTATCTAAGTTTTTTTTTATAGTTATAGTACCTAATTTTAATTTATAGATAATGTAATTTAAATAACTATCTTTATTCACATCAGATCAATCTCATAATATTTTTTCTAGCTAAAAATTAATAAATCATGTTTAATATATATTTTTATTAATTTCAGATTGAATTTAACTTCTAAACTATGAATAGTATTGGAGCAATGAATTCTCCAGTAAAGCAGCCTCTGCCAACAGTATTGGCTCCTCCTACTATTTCAAATTCTTCACCTTCCAAAGTACAACCACCGCCAAATTTAACTCCACTTAATTTAAATACTTCTCAATCAACTCAGCCTTTGAGTCTCGTAAATGAACATAAAAATATTCCCATTGTTATTCCTTCGCCTGTTATGACTTCTGTTGAAAATATTGTTCCAAAAACTACTGCATGTAATGGTTTACCTGATACAAAACCAGTTGGTGAGAAAATTGAAGGAGCCCTGCCTAAAATTGAACCACAAATACTCCATAATCAGGTAAATAATTCTGTCAATGTCAAAAGTGCAAATGAATCTCCTCTTCCTGAAATTAAACCTCAAGTATCAGAAGTTGAAAATTTATCTCAAAAAAAAGATGATAAGAATAACTTGCCAATTGTTCAAACCGATAAAGTTATTTTGCCAGAAGTTAATGTAACATCTTCAAATGATCCTATTAAGCCTGATGATATACATAAAACTGAAAATGTTGTTTCCAAACCAAAAGAAAATGATACTAAAGTCAGTCAAGAATCTACTGAAATTAAGGCTATAGGGCAAACAAACCAAGGGCCAACTGTTTCTGTTGAAAAAATTGAACAAGTACCTATAAACACTTCAAAAAATAGTGTGCGGCGAAAAAGAGAACATAAAGTAAGTCAATTATTAAATAATTAAGATGACGGTAACCAACATTTCTTATGAACTGTTATGTAGATTTATTGAATACTCTAGTAATATTAATAGATAATTGACTTAATTCAGTAGTTTCATTGGAAATTTATTTTGTTTTCTTTTATATGGTTATTCTTTGTACTTTTACTGCTAAAATAGTAACTAAAAATATATTAAATATTTAAATAATTTAATTTTTAATTTTAAGCAGCTAGAAGAAGAAGAAGAAAAAAAGGAGAAATCATTGAAAAAGGATACACCTGTTGAAGAAGTAAAATCTAAGCGTACTAGACTTCCTACACAACCTTTCCAATTATCATTATTGCCAGAAATGCACCATATCTCCAAAATTTCTGAAAAAACTGTATCTTCAAAAATCAATAGTGACAAATTAACAGTGTTCTACAAGTAATATTTTAAACCCATTGATACATTTTTATATATAGTTAGTTTAATTTATTATATTATTTTATTTCCAGAAATGAGTTTTTGGCTGTACGAAATGAAGAAGGAGGATTTTACTTATGCCAAGCTATGCAAAATATTCATAGAGCTAGTCGCCGTATTCGTATTCGATGGCTAACTCAACATCCTAATGATGAATTTACTCCAGATTTTTATGACCATACAGGTATATGTTTTGAATTATAATTGTTTTTGTATTATTTTATATAATTTCTAATAAAAACTATTACACATGTAATTTTTTCTTTTATTTATATATATCAAAAAAATAAATAAAATGTATCAATTTGAAAAGAGCTCTTTAAAATTGTGTTATTAATTTGCTAAAAGTTAATATAAGTTTATTTAATGTTTACAGAGTTTGATTGTATTTTGACTAATATAACATTAAAAAAAATTCAAAAAGAACAGTGGAAACTTCCTGAAAAAGAAAAGTTAAGAATTGAAAATATATTGAAACGATCTATTGATGTTGAAAAAGGATCAGAAAAACCTTCAGTTACTGAAGAACATCCAGATGGCTGTATGTATTAATATAACATTTTATTCAATTATTACTATCATTAATTTTTGCTGACTATTTTAAAGTATTTATTTTTTAATCACTGTAATTAAAACATTTATCGTTTTAGTGGATGTGAGCTTATTCAAAGATGAAGCTCAACTAACAAAGAAAAAAGGTAGCAAGAAAAGTATAACTGTGAAAAGGAAGGTATCAACTGATGAGCAACAACCAGTAAAAAAGTCATCTAGATTGTCTAAGAAAAAACCATCTTATGATTTTGGGCATTCCTCATCTGAAAGTGACGAAAATGATGAAGATAATAGTAACCAAAAAAAATCATCTAGCAAAAAAATTTTGAAAAAAAAAGTTGTTGCTAAAGAACCTGCTAAAAAAATAATAGGCAATGTATCAAAACCAAAAACACCATCGGTTAGAAAAACACAAGCTCCTGTAAAACCAACATATGTATTGGCATCAGTTTCTTCAGCAGTGAAGAAAAGAGAAATCATTGCTACAAAACAAAAAAAAGAGAACAATGTTTCAGATAAAAAGTCTTCCAAGAAAGTAGAAACAAAATCTCCAGCTGTTCCTCTACCTTCAGAGCGATCATCAAAAACTAGAAGTAATAAATTTTCTTACCACTAACTGTATTTAAAATTAAACAATTAAATCTTATTGTTATGTTTGTGAAAAAATTTTTAAGACTTACGATGGTAAATGTCTCCAAATCTATTTCTCGATTGTAATGCCTTTCAAAAGGATGTCAAATCTGCATGTGTTGTCTCAGTTGATAAACAATCACATAGTAAATCTATGTTTAGCTAATTTAATTTTATAATTTTTATTTTATCTTTTGTATCGGAGTTATAACTATTGACAAATTTAAATAGGATATTATCTAGATCCTCTTGTAGACTTAATTATTGATTATGTAAGTTATAAGAAGTGCAGAATTGTAATATTTTATTTAGTTATAACTTACATTAAAATAAATTATTCATAAAAGTCTATAAAATGTCCTTGATAATAAGTAGTAATTATTCTAATATTAAACAAATCTTAGTACAAAATTGGTTTTCCTAAATGCAAATTTACTGTGTTCTATGTTTGTCAGACAATATTACAATTGATAACTAGAATTATTTTTATTATCAGTGTTAAACTGTTCATCTAAATACCTTAAATTTCATATTGAGTCCCTTTTGTACATAACACAGATCTTGCTAACCTTAGTGAGATTAGGTATAAGGTCTATGGTTTGTATTGTGCACTAGTTATGGGTCAGTAAAATTATTTTCAGTAGATAATGATACATTGAAAGGAGGAATAATTTGTATAAGGTCTTTAATGTATTCACAGACTAGGTCAAGGTATATGAATACAGTATTTATAAAAATTAAGTTATTTTGTGTGTTACTGACATAAATAATTTTTGATTTAGTATAATATCTTGTAATATTCAACTTTTTTTTTTTTTTAGATGCAGGAAATGCTGTTTCAGCAAAAATAACCACTGCTGGTATTGGAATAGTTAAAAATAACCCCAATGATCGAAAAACAACAAGAAATCGTAAATGATGATAATATCACGCTTTGTAAGGAATATATTCTACTACTTGTTTGAACAATATTTAAAAATTCATTTTGTTAATAATATTATCAATTTAACTTAATTCTGATTTCTTGAAAGACTACATTTTTATTATGTTAAACACATACCATATCACAAATTGTTTTGATGTGTTGATCCACATTCTTGTTTAACTTTTATAATTTTATACTTTTTTCGTTTATTATTTTTTATTAAGTTTTGAGTAACTTAGGTAGCTAATAGTATACAATTTCAAAATAATCTGAAAAAATTAGGTAATTTAAAGTTAAATTTTTTTTTTTTCGTAACAATAGTACTTAATGGCTCTTAATTTATCAAACATGTATCAATTTAAATTGTTGCTAGATGTCGATGCCATTATTTTAAATTGTATTTTTATTTAATACTTAGTAATGGTATTTAAATGAAAATACATTTATGATGTATTAAGTATCATTTAATTAAATGTTTTTGTGAGTTATTCTTCTATTTTGAAAACTAAATAGTATGAAAATCTATATTTTCAATTAAACTTAATGCTTTACTTTAGTTTTATGAATAATAACGTTAAAATATAAAAGATAATTAATTCTTATTACATATTACTGAATTTTATATATATTATAATTTTTCATTGTATGTTCTGACGAAATTTAATGTTATTAAATAGTAGTCACTTTTGGCATTGGCATCTTTCTATAAATTTATCTAGATATAATTTATTCAGTTATAAAATTGTATTATTTTTTAATTGATTATTTAATTTATATTGTTTTTTTTTTCTATTTAATTCAAATAGAATTATGAATGTGCACTAAATTCTTGTAATTGTACTTTGTATTTCTTACGCACAAGAATATTTAGTTTAAAAAATAATTGTTTACTTCCATGAAAACTTATTGTTCCAAATGTTTAATTTATTACTTACAGTACAATTCAATTTATTATAATTAATAACTATAAACACAAAATGTAAGCTCTTATTAATATTGTATTGTAAATAATGAATTAGGATAATATAGCCAATATATTATATAGATATATATTTATATAAATATAATTAATGAATAATATTAGATAACAATTTTTAAATCTTATATTATTAGTTATGTAAGTTGAGAAAAAAATGATTGTTTTGAGTGACGTGGTTTTGCCATATTTGCAATATCATAATATTTTTTATTAATTTACAAGTGTAAAATTTTATTGTGTCTGTGTGTTGTAAATAACCATGAATCTAATATTCTGGTATTGATGTCAACCTGCTTTGATATTGTTTGTAAATCTATTGATTTTATTTTTTATTTAATACCAACAGTAGAGGTATGCACATTAGAAAAAAAACATATTTATTTACCAACAACTTTTTAATTATAAAAAAATATATATATATAAGAAAAAAATTATTATTGTAAATATTATAAATTTGATTAATTATTGTAAGTGAATTTAAAAATATATTCAAACAATTTATTGTACATATCTGTGTTTTAAAATTGATGAGTTTATATTTTTATCATTTTATTTAAATTCAACTTGAATACTTTAGGAACATTTCTAATAGTTAATGATATGCGTTTATTTCTTGTCAGTTGAATTCCATTTTGATAATTTGATCCACAAAATGTTATGTTGGATATTTTATCATCAATGATATCATTGGTAATCTCCTCAATGCCATGCATATATTCTGTGTACATTTTATCCTGTAAAACTAGTAGACTTCTTCTTTCCAGCAATAAACTGTATACTTTTTCACTTGATACAACTACGTTGTCCTATAATAAAAAGATTTCTAAAAAATTAAACATTTTTACTTAAAGATATAATTGCAAGCATTAGTGTACTAAACAATTTTTAATTTACTTTTATCATTATTTTTTTTTTTTTTTTTAAACACTAATATATTAAAAAACTTTTTATTACACTAAATTCATTGCTTGATATCTTCCTACCCACCCACCCATTTTGTGCTTGAAGAATTTGCTTCAAAAAAGTCTACTTTAGGACACTACTGATTTCAAGCATTAAGTCTTACATGTATAGTAACAATAATAATAATTTTTTAATTTATTACAAATGTAGAAATTATAGTTTGAATTTGTTTAATAAACCAATACAAGACAAAAATGATAAGTATTTTTTTTTTTTTATATAGTAAGGAAATATATTTTATTAATTTTGTTTAATTATAATTTGAATAATCATAAATAATTACAATAAAAACTACAAAAATATTAGTAAAATCTAGTTTTATAACTTTACCTCAAGTGACTTATAAAAATTCAATACAGTATGAGATCCACAGTTAATTGTAGTCACAGTAGGAAAAAATAAACTTCCATCTAAATGTGGCTAAAGAACAACATCGATTACTAACTAATAATTTTTTATGTAATCAGAAATGTATACCATGATCCCTTGTCCAGATAAGTATTCATTAATTAACACATGATTTGGTTTGTTAGTGCTAGGAAATACTTGAAGACTATCTACTTGATTGACAAATCCTTTTAACCACTAAAACATGCTGAAGTTTAAATTATACTCCATTTTTACAAATAAATAAGCAAACCACACTTACATCAGGAATTGTTTCGGGAATAAGTCCTTTGGTATGAGGCACGCCTCCCCAATTTTGAACTCTTCTATTTTTCAATTGACACCACTTAGGTTTTGGTGCATTATTTACTTTTTCAATTATATATGTTTCCTGATCTTTGGTTATAAAATTTGGTATATAATAAGCTGTATCATCGACCTTAAAACGACATGAATTAACATCAGTAACACCTACTACATACATCCATTAACAAAGATTAATTAGTATATTTACAGTATTCAACTTATAATCCTTTAAATTAATAATCTCCATTTCAAATCTTGATTGTGAACATCTACAACAAACGACAGTAATTCAACAGATCACAAATCATGTAAGAACCGTAAAGAAAATCATGACAATATGTTTTCGTGCAGGAAATGAGAAATTCAAATTCAAATTTGATATTTATTGCATAAAAATATTGAATAGGTAGTTGAATGAATTGTACAGCATTCTCAATTCAATGTTTAAAGTTTTAAACTGTTAAAAATGTGTGCCGTGTTTATGAATAATGATGATAAGATTTATAATAATATATATTTGTATTATCATTTATCAATGTTACGAACACTAAAATAATATAAATGAAATAAAAAATAATATAATATGAAGATTCTCCAATCATGCTTTTAATGTCACGGTCAGTGACAATGATGTAAGATGTTATCTTTATCAATAGCAGATTAACCAACTGTTAAAATAACAAATTAATTTGACGATGATTTTCTTAATTTTTTTATAGCTTGAACTTTGTACTTTGAAATGCCCTTTCAATAAATAACCATAATTTTTTCTAGAGGTTTCAACTCTCAGTTAGCTAGTCAGCTACGAGTTTGCATTCGATATTCACGTAATAGTCGTCAGCAGAAAGGTATCTTAGAAATATATTATTTAAACCTGATATTTTAAAGTAAGGTAGATAAATAACTTTAGAGTGTAAAAATATATTATATAGTATTCAATATTCATTATTTAAAGTTAATATTTATAACACATTTTAACTAATATTTTATTTTGTTTATGTAGCATTAACAATACAACAATTATCATGTTGAGATTTAATACAGGAAAGGTATGCTAAGCTCTACAAATATTTAAAATCCATCTCAATTTTTGAAATATAAATAACATTTACTTGTATGATTTTAATAATATATCCTTTAAATAGAGCTTAATGACTTATACTCGGCGGTCTATATCAACAACTTCAATTTTGAGAGATGTTTTCATTGTCAGTGCTACTAGAACTCCAATTGGTTCTTTTGGTGGATCATTAAAGAGTCTTTCTGCTACTAAACTGGGCGCTATAGCTATTCAAGTAAGTAAATAGTATTTTAAATAGGTACTAGTTTTGACAATAATTCATACAATCAACATATATTTGAATAACATGAAATGGAAACTTGGAATTCTATAACTCTTCAAACTAAAATTAACAAACATATTTTTAACTACAATTTATAACAAACAGATATAATTATAAAAATTTATTGTGTAGTTTTAATTTTTTTTTCATAAATTAATGAACAATTCTCATACAAAAGTATGTGTTATATAATATTTTATTATTATTAAGAAATCTTGAGATTTTTAATTTTAGGTATTTATATTTTTAATTACATTATTGATTAATTATAATTTATTTATCAATTACTATTTATAAAACTATTAATCTGTCAAATCAATTAAAAATAAACTTTATTTTTACCACAGGCTGCTGTTGAGCGATCTGGAATTTCTAAAGATGAAATTGAGGAAGTTTTTATGGGAAATGTATGTCAAGGTGGTGTTGGACAAGCACCAGCTAGGCAAGCAACAATATTTGCTGGTGAATTAGTGAATTATTATATTTATTATGTTTAAACGTTTAACTTATGACATTTTTATTTTATAGGATTACCTAAATCAACTATATGTACAACAATAAATAAAGTCTGTGCTTCTGGAATGAAATCAGTCATGTTGGCTTCTCAAAGTCTAATATGTGGCCATCAACAAATAGTAGTTGCTGGTGGCATGGAATCTATGTCTAATGTACCATTTTATCTAGCAAGAGGAGATACAAAATATGGTGGTGTTAATTTATCTGTCTGTTTATTATTTATATACATAAAACTTTCATATATATAAAATACATTTTAGTATATTTTTATTTCAATATTTATAGGATGGAATCGTGTTTGATGGTTTAACTGATGTATACAATAAAGTTCATATGGGTAGTTGTGCTGAAAATACAGCTAAACAATGTGGCATAAGTAGAGCACAGCAAGATGATTTTGCTTTAAGCAGTTACAAAAAAAGTGCTGATGCCTGGAAACAAGGACATTTTGCCCAAGAGATTGTTCCAGTCAACGTCCCTCAAAAAAAAGGTTGGTAATTAATGTAATTTTTTTTTTGTTGGCTTAAAAATTATTCCAACATTTTAAGGTAAACCTGATGTTGTTGTATCTGAGGATGAAGAATTCAAAAGAATAGATATTGAAAAGTTTAAAAAATTGAATACGGTTTTTCAAGTAAATATTTATTATTGTTTGATTTTAGTTTTTTAATTTTTTTTATTATTATTTTTTTTTTTAGAAAGAAAATGGAACAGTTACTGCTGGAAATGCATCAACAATTAATGATGGGGCTGCTGCTTTAGTTTTGACAAATGAAAATGTTGTAAATAAATTAAATTTGAAACCTTTAGCTAGAGTAATTGCATTTCAAGATGGTGCTACTGATCCTATTGATTTTCCAATTGCTCCAGCAGTTGCTATACCCAAAGTATGTTAATTCTTTTTTTTTTTGTATTTAATCACGATTTTGGTGAGGAGGGTAAGTGGACTAAGGCAGTAGTTGCAATGCTCGCTGTCATCATTCTGGACCTAGCTGCAGGTGGCATCTTTCTTTGAACAAACAATCTAGAAGCTAGTAATTTCCAATTGATATGAAGCCACAAAATCTAGCTAAAACTTGATCTAGGGAACTCCTTTTTTGTATATCCTCTCTTTACCCATATTACCGTGTTTATTGCTTAGTCTCTAATATAGACCTTAGGGATCCCCATACCTTCTAAACCTAAAGCAACATACAAAAATAAGATGCTATTATTATTGATTATTGAAATTAATTTAATTCTAGTTGTTAAGCAAAAGTGGTCTTTCCAAAAATGATATCGCATTGTGGGAAATAAATGAAGCTTTCAGTGTAGTTGTTTTAGCTAATATAATGAAATTAGATCTTGATCCATCTAAAATCAATGTACATGGTGGCGCTGTTAGCTTAGGTCATCCAATTGGGTAAATATATCAGCCATCGTTTATAATTTGATAAATTTTATCGAAATATTTTTTTATTTTTTTTTTAGGATGTCTGGTGCTAGGATTGTGGTTCACTTAGCTCACGCATTAAAACCAGGACAAAAAGGTGTAGCTTCCATTTGTAATGGTGGTGGCGGAGCATCATCAATTCTTATTGAACGTTTATAATACTTTGTTTAATTTGTTAGAAGTATTTTTACTTCATAAAAATTATTTTTTAATACATAATGATTGCAACATGGTTATGAGTTAAGACTGCAATTCATTTTTATATATGTATATAAATTTATTTAAATAAAATTATGGTTATATTTTTAAACGCGTGGATTAAGAAATTATTCTGAAAAATATTCAAAAAATTATTATATTTCATTAAAATTGCACAACTATTTATTTATTTAAATCAATTTGAACAATATTAGTTTTATTTATATGTAATATTGCTAAAATAGTTTCTTTTTACATCATCAATTACATTATCTATAAGCTCTAATGCCTTATATTTATCTACTTGTTTAATCTTGAATTCAGTAGTTTTGAACTGGACTTTGTTTTTGAATTTTATGGGTTTAATATCAAATTTGCTCCAGAAATTGTTTAACCAATTTACATCCTCTAAAAGTTCCTATAAAAAATATTATTTTTTAAATCTATCAATTTTATTCATACATTAGTCATATACCTTTGGAATACGTAAATATACATGTATGCTCTCTCTATTGTAAGCTAAAAATAAACAAGGTACATCACCACAGACATGTACGAAATTTTCAAAATCATAACAATTGCTATCAAGATATGCTGAATCACAATCAACATAACCCACAGCATAATTATCTTCACATAAATTTTTTACTGCATCACTTAATATCTGCCTGAATACAGTAAATAAGTAAATTTCAAAAGAATTATACATTATAAGTTGTAACATAATAATTACTTACATCTTTTTTTCTTTTATTATTTTCTGAATTTTTCTTTCAATAGCAAAGATTTTCTTATTTAATTTTATTTGAACATTCAAGGGTATAAATTTTTGAGAAATATTTTTTAGATCTGATTTTAATTGGTTTTTATTATCCATCAATAAATGCACCTAAATTAAAAATATTTGACACCAATGATTAAAATAGTAACATATTATTAATGTGTTTCCATTAAAAAAGTGATATTACAAACTCATTAAGCGCCCTCTAAAACTTGTAAAAAATCAAATATTTATTTATTCTATGATTTACATATGAAATAGGATTTAACTATAATAAGTGATTTACCTTTGTTGGAGAAATATTATTTAAATTAGTTGAATTCACCAAATGTTCAACAAAATTTGATTTTTCTAATAATTTTTGACCACAAACTCTTGCGTCTTTACATAGTGGCCCAGTTACTGCCATTATAGTGCATTCACTACTGAGACATTTATATTGGACAATACAAAAATCAATCACATCTAATGTATTATGAATGTGTGTACCACAACATGCTTCTCTAGATATATATGAATTATCAATATTGTTGTACATGTCTATTATATGTACTTCATCTGGATATACTTCTCCGGGGAGTAATGTGACATTCATTTGATTTAAATTATCGGATGTCACTGTGGTTCTTTTAACGGATAATCCAGATTGTATTATATTATTAACTTTTTCTTCTATCACTAAGGCCTCTATAAAATTAATAAAATAATGTAATGTAATAATTATAATGAAACCAAATATAAATAAAATCAAATATCTTGAAATAATGATTAACCTTCTGGTGAAAATTTTTGCCCAAAGAGTGCAAAAGTAAATGACATAAAATCTTTTTTTACACAACTTGATAATTGAGCAGTAACAACTAAATATGAGTTTAAAACAGAATTTAATATATGAATTGATGAATGAGCACGCATTAAACCAATTCTATAGTTTGAATCAACTTGAACATTTAATTCCTTTTCCCTGAAAATGTATTCGCAAATATAATATATTAATATTAAAAACCATAAATTAAACTAAAAAGTACCTTAATAATATAGGCCAATCGCTTGATTTAATATGATGTAACACAACACCATTTTCTTCAATTTTGTTTACATCAGTAACATTAAATACTATTCCATTATTAGTTTTGACAATACCAATATCATTTTGTTGTCCACCAGCTTTACAATAAAAGGGTGTTTTGTCTAGTACTAACGAAACCATATCTCCTTGTTCTTTAATATCAGGCTCAGTCACAATGTTACCATTATTATCGATAATTGCTAGAAGCTTGGCAGTAAGTGCTGGTGATAAATATGATTCATTATTATAGCGAATAATTTCATACTTGAAACTGTCATCAGTTTTAGGAATATTTCCTGTCATATAACCATTTGATATTTTCTTAGTATGTTTAATAGTTTTTGTTTGTAATTTTTTTAATTTTTCATGAAGTTCGTTCCAATTTACTGGTTTTCCTAGAGAAGAAAAAAAATATACATAAAATTAATACTAAATCAAAAATAAAGAAAAATAATGTTTACCCATAACTTTAGCTAGCCTTCCTATTGTTTTCTTTTCGAGACCAAATGCATCATACAATGTAAATGCTGGTATGTTTTTAATATTTTTCTGTTTTATTAAGTAATTACAAGCTGGTACAAATCCTGTACACTCTTCATATGGATTAAAACTCTTTAACATTGGACATTCTTCAACTGCCATTTTCCAATCTTTAGAAACAGACATTCTTAGTTTGTCAAATATAGTGTACTCGTGTTTTATTAAATGTCTGACCTAAAAATGAGAACAGATATTTAATTACTAAGACCATATAAATAATTTTAATTTAACTTAGTATGGATTATACCACAAAAGTATAATTATAGTTTACCTTTTCATTGTTTTTAATCAGTTCAGGATACACATTACCAAGACTCTTTGAAACTTCATTAGCGATATCACACATCAAATTGTACCCGGGTTGAATTTTGAAATTAGTTTCCGCTAATAAAAATGATTTTCGTATCAATCTTCTCAATTTATGACTGAAATAGTATAAAACACTAATCAATAGTTCAAAATTTAAAACTGTTGTAGATATAACTTTTGGCTGGGCAGCATATTATCCGAAAGTGCAACAGTAATCATTCGCCCATGGTCTGCTAATACTCGATAATAAGTATCCAAATTTGTTTCTTCATAATATAATCCTGTGTATTTTGATATTTTGGAGGCCTAGTTGTAATAATAATACTTTTAAATAAAAAATGTTTTGTTTTTCTTAGTCATATTAATTTCTTACATTAAATATAATGTTAAATATAGGTGAAAATAAATCTGTATCATAAGTTGATGTTTTATCTTGCAACACCATTGTCAAACGTTCCAATCCCATTCCAGTATCTATGAAATAATTTGGTAACTTGCGCATAGAATTTTTTTCTCTACATAATATCTAATTCATTAACGGTTAACTTAAAATCAATTTTAATAGAAAAAAAAAAAATTACCTAGAATATTGTATGAAAACAATGTTCCAAAGTTCAATGAGATTTTTCCCACCAGACGGTGGATAATCAATGTGTATCTCTGTACAAGGCCCACAAGGTCCTGTTTCTCCCATTTCCCAAAAATTATCATTTGCTCCGTTCATAATAATGTGATCATCATTTACACTGTAATAATACATGAATATTAAATAAAACTGTGAATTTTCAATTAAATATAGATAACCTATGCATCTTTCCTTTTCATATTAATTTATCTGCTAGTAATACTTTCAGAAATTTTGGTTTTGTAAATAAAGATACAAGAATTTAAAAATATAAGTACTTTAAAATTGTGAAAATTTTGTGTTGTTAGATGTAAGCCTGAGTTTGGTTCTTTAGTTAAATCCCCTAAAATTTTACTTTTATCATAATTGATGTTGTGCTATCTTTTATTAAAGTTTTAGATTCATTTACAATTTATAAATAAATACGAATAAATTAATATTAACCCAATATGTTTCCATATTTGAAGTGTTTCATTATCAGCTTCTAGGTCAAGTGTTTCATCGCCATTAAATACAGTACAATATAATTGCTTGGTGGGTATATTGAAAGGTGATGAAGTCAATAAATTCCAAGCCAAACGACATGCTTCAGCCTATAAAAATGAAGTTTTATAGATTTGTTAAATATATTTTAGATTAATTTCAACCTTGCCATAATGTCCAAAAGACCAGTTTCCAAGCATTTCGAAAAATGTATGATGGTAACCATCAGAACCGACAATATCTAAATCATTGTGTTTACCACCAACTCGTATACACTTTTGACTATTGGCAACACAATTGGCTGCTAAAGTTCTTTGACCAAGTAATATATTCTTAAACTAATTAAAAAATAAATAAATATCAACAATAAGTTCTTCTATATTATTCCAATATGCTTACCTGGCACATGCCAGCATTTACAAAAGCTATCGTAGGATCATTATATGGTACTACAGGACTAGATTTAATGTATTTGTGATCATTTTCTTTCACAAAATAATCAATGAATCGTTTACGTATTTCGTTTGAAGACAAGTATGATTTAAAACGTATCCTGTTATCAATATTGAATGGTTTCAACCTTAGCTTAATCATTTTTTCATTTCTTTTGAATATCTATAAGAAAAACAAATATTCTAGTTATTAAGCACTGTGTATTATGCCAATGCAAGTGAAAAATAATTTCTATTATGAATAAAATGTTATTTTATTCAGAAACAAGTATAATACATTTTTTGAATAAATAATAAACTGCAGATAGTGATAGCATAGAATAAAAATGTTATTCTATATTTCGATAGCTGTCTTTTTGTTGAAGACGTCAGACAGTAGAATTGAAAATTGTAAATTCGTAACTTGTAAATAATAATAATTTTATAAGCACCAATTAAGTACCAGACAAGAGACGTGAGAGCCTGACAGCAATTCCCGATTCCTGAAGTTCGGTGACTGGTAGTTTGAAATTTTCTCAGTTCGACAAACACCTCACGTAATCAGACATGCTCGCATGAATAAAGTTATAATTTATAAATGCGGCAGTAATGGCAAATATTGGTAAATTTACAAATCAATTGCGCGCGCGAAGCCCCCCTTATCATACAATAAACTATAATCACTGAAGGAAATATGTGTTATCATTATGTTATGAATTTATTTATGACCCTATTCCATACCACTTTTAAATTGAATTTACAGACATTAGATTATTTAGATTAATTAACAAAAAATGAAAACAATTTTATCAATTATTCAATTTTAGTTTAAGATTTTTCAAGTACTATATTTTAGTGCTTTTATGAATACCAAAAAACTATTAGTTATTACATTGATTTCCATCATGTTTATGGTACGACCCAATTTGAAAATTTTTTCAAATTTGGCGACCTATAATAATATTAATGACTTTTAGTTTTGTTTTTGCTATTTTGTGGATCAGTTACTTACGGCAAAAAATTAAAAGAGATACTCACGAAAAATCAATACATTTTTAACAAGGAATTTTTTTGGTTTATTGCAGTAAAGTTAGAAATTATTTTTTGATGCTTTTAGATTCTAATTTTCTTTCATAAAAATCGAATAGAGTAATTCTTCATTTCTGGATAATTCGTAATTTTTTAGGTCGTTAACTCTCATTTGAATTATACATCCAAAAATAACACATTGTAATCATGGGAAATCATTTTTGGAAAGTGCATTTTTATGACTTCAATGCTTCATTTAGGTTTTTATGGTTTCTTGATATTAATTTTTTCCTATCTCTCTGCAGCTATTTACTACAAACTAAAACAATTATAGTATAAAATTATAAAATATATGCAAGTACAGAAACTACCACCAAGAAATGCTTTATGTAATGGACTATATACAATAGTCATTAAGTCATAGTATAAAAGAACAAATAAATAATATATTTTACACATATTATAGAGCATATTATGGTATACATGAATTCTTTATTTTGAAACTATATTGATAAGGGGTTTTTTTAGATAACTGATGATCACTTATAATACTTAAAGCTTTTTAAATTAATAATAATATAATAAAATATAATAATTTGATTTAAAATCTATTGATTTATTTTGATTATAATAATATAAGTGAATACAATATAAATACAAACAAATTGGTAAGCAATAAAAAATATGAACACAACATATATAATCAACATTTTGATAGCATCACGATTAGCTCTGCCTATTTCTCAACAAAATAATTGTAAACAATTCACTAAAACAACTTTGGAAATAAATAAAAACAATAAATATACATATCTAAAACAATACTATAATAATTAAAACATTTTGTGCTATTTTAAACAATAAGTAGCTCTGTGCAATTTCATTAATGATCAAGTATTCTAAGATTGCCAGACACTATCTTGTTCTCGAGTGTTGCATTTGAAGGGATATCGATTCTATCTCCATGATTGGCAATGATAATAACAGTCCCCTAAAAATGTAACCATTACATGAAATTTAATATATTTTCAACATATAATACACAAACACAAAACTTAATTCTTACTTTTAAAGAAACATTTCGACCGAACGTTACATCACCAGAAACAGTTAAATGATCCAATTCTAATATATCAGGAATTGTTGCAAAACGAGATAAAAAGTCTTTCACTTTTGCGAAATCTTTATCACCAAGTTTAACTAAAGGAGTAGTAGGAAACATTCTTAATGGACTCATTGATAATGATCCATTTCTCATGTGATATAAGTTGCTCATTACCAATAAAAGATCAGAAGTTTTTTTAACTGGTAAGAAACGGCTTCTAGGTACATTTATACCTAAAATTTTTTTTCAACCAAATAAAATTATATTAAACATTGTAAAAAAATTACAAACTTAATTTTTTAATTAACATACCAAGACCGCCATTAAAAGATTTCATAGCAGCACCAACTGCTGTTTCAAGTTGAATGATATTTAAATTGTTGTCCAATGTTTTATTATTAACTATAATTTCCAAATTCATGGAACCTTCATTTAAAACTTTCTCAATAGCAGTAAGTTTAATCCATAAGTTGTTGGTGTTGAAAAACTTAAATTTTTTTACTGATTTAAATTCTTCAAGATTTTCTTTGGGAACTTGCGCTATTTCAAGCAGTCTCAATTTATTCTCATATTGAATTAAAGTACCACCTTTTACGTCAGCCTTAGTTTTATTTGTAACTTCCATTACAAATTCAAGGGAATCAGTTTCACGGCCCAATAACATGTTGAGGATATTTAGGTCAACAGTTGCACCTAAGTTGTCAATGTTTGAGATGAAACAATAGTCACGACCCTATGAAATAAATACTATTTATTAAAACAATTCTAAAATTAAGAAATGGTATTTTGTAGTATTCAGAAAATAGACAAATTTGTTTCTATGGCTAGAGTACATACAACACAGAAAAATACATTCTGTATGATGCATAAAATAAATATACATTGTAAAGTCTCATTTTAAGATAATGTCAGAATAATATTTATTAAATTTATCTATCTATACTCGTTAAAACGAGACCACATTTTATCTTTCTTTATCAAAATTATAAAAAGAAAACATATTACCGAAATTACTAAATCAGTAACATATTTATATGATGCTGTATAAAGATTATTTTAAATACTTATAAAAGAATATACTATTTATTTATATTAACTTCTAGATTATAAGTATAACTATCAAAAGGAGAAAAATATATTAAAAAATATTATGTAAAGCATTATACTATTAATCAAATTTTTCTAAATGAAAAATGTGAAGAACAGTTTAGCCATCACAACAAGAATGTATTAGAAGATAATAAATTGTATTATATGTAAATTATATAATTTTTTAATACAAATTTAAAAAAAACTTACACTATCAATAAACTTTTGCAATAATCCTGAATTTTTAAAACTATCATAGAAATCTCCGTGACCAGGAGGATACCATCTAAAACACAAAATAAGTAATTTTTAGTAATGTAAAATTAAATACTAATATTATTTATCTAACTAACGCTTCAATGTTGCCTTCAATATCACAGTCTTGTGCAATTGGTAAAAGTGATTCTTTAGATACTCGAGGAAAACAGCTTTGATTAAATGTATATATCTCTACTTGAAGTCCTTTATATTTACGAATGATTTGTTCAGTATCTTTATCCGTATTAAAAGAGTTCATTAAAACCAATGGTACATTGACATTATATTTTTTATTTAAATGCTGCCAAAAAATGTAAAAATGAATAGTATTAAAATTAAAATAATAATTTCTTTTTATAATTACTAACCTCAATTTGTTGAACTGTTAAATCAAGGAAGGTAAGATCATTTCTGACTTGTATAACAGATTTTGGACCACGGCATCCCATGGATGTACCAAGACCTCCATTAAGCTTTACAACCACCAGTTTTTCAAGCTTTGAATGAATATCATCAGGACTTGGTTTTGATAAAGTTTCATAATCTCGTATCTAAATTACATTGAGTACATAATGTATTTATAAAAATTCAAATTAAATACATCTATAGGTTAGATTTAACTCAAACTCAGGACCATTTGTATTTCTTGAGGAAATAATAATATCCGTATGGGTAACCATCAAATAAAAATGTACTTTTGAATAAGATGACATTAAATAGATTTAACATTTGCATTATCAAGAATTAATAAATTATTATCTATAACTTCTGTTAATTTTTGATTCTTTTAAAAATGTAATTGATTTTTATTTAGTTTAATTAATGAAATTATTGTAAATTGGGTTATGTTATTTAAGTTTAAAAGTTTAAAAAATGTATATAACAGTTAAAAAAATAATTTTTTTTTTTGATAATTTATTTGTGTGTATTTCCAAATATGTATACAATAATTTAATGATCAATTTATATAAGAACAGTCAAATGCCAACAATTTCAAAATATATTTAGTCTTTTTAATGTATAAATTGTTTTACTTTCATAGTCAAATAAAAAAATAATACTATATTGATTGTTAATTAAGTTAATTAAAAAAAATATATATTAGATAAACAAACAAAAAATTATCTGTAGGTCAAAGATTAGGTTGTTAATACAAATGGAAATATTTTTATATTTCATTAATATTATACACTTACAGCATCTGCAGGTAGTTTTTCGATCTTTTCCCAATCAACTGATGGGCCAGATTCTTCTAGGAAACGTTGAAATAAACGTGAAAACGCTGTAAATTGAGATTTGGCCAAATCTTTTTTATCATCTGGTGCAGTTGCAAGTAAAGATGCCATTTCTTTTTCTAGTTGTACCAATGAGTCACGTTGGGTAACTTCTTTAAACTCTTTCAAATCTGTACTTGAAGGTACACGAGAGTGTCCTTTTGGCTGTAAATAAAAATTAAAAATGTAGAAATATAATTAAGTATAACATAAATAGTGATGCACTGATGCATTATTATATACTATATAAATATTGGGCACACATTATACTAATACAATAAATATTGTGTTAAAAATAATTAAAATATTTTTGAGTTTTTTTTTTTTTTTTTGAAAGCAAAACAATAAAAAATTAATTCATTATTTTCAAAAAAAAAAAAAAATGTGTGCACAAGCTATCAATTTCTTTTTTAAATACCAACTTTTATTTTATTTAAAGTAATATATAATAAATAGAAAAATAAATATAATAATAATTTTGATAATTTCTAAAACTGCCTACTAATTAGAAAATAAATTAATATTTGGGTTCCTAATAAATTAATATATTTTATTTGAAACCCAGAGAAATCTTAGTTCAAATATCAAACATCAATTTAATAAAATAATGTGTATATAATAATGAAACCAAAATACAATATTTCATTTAGTTTTTAAAATATTATTAAAATTAGTTACCTAGATGAATATTATAATTCTATAATTACATTTTTAATATGAATTACCCGAAATATAAATTACTATTATTCTGTATGTAAATACAATAATGAATATAATGTTAAATTAAAAGA